TTGGATCGGGCTTTGCCTCTAATGCGGAGGAACTCAAGAACTTGTCATCCCGCTCGTTGACTTTGGCACCTCAGATTCTGGTCGAAAAATCCCTTAAGGGCTGGAAGGAGGTTGAATATGAGGTTGTCCGTGATGCTGCCAATAATTGTATTACCGTATGTAATATGGAGAACTTCGACCCCCTGGGAATTCATACGGGAGACAGTATCGTTGTCGCACCCAGTCAGACTCTTTCCGACGAAGAGTATCATATGCTCCGGACCGCTGCCATTAAGATTGTTCGCCATCTAGGCGTTGTTGGAGAGTGCAACGTCCAGTATGCCCTGCAACCTGATGGCCTCGACTACCGAGTCATCGAAGTCAACGCCCGTCTCTCCCGTTCCTCAGCTTTGGCCTCTAAGGCTACCGGCTACCCCCTCGCTTACACTGCAGCCAAAATTGGACTTGGGCACACCCTACCTGAGCTCCCCAATGCTGTCACAAAGACTACGACCGCCAACTTCGAACCTAGTTTAGACTATATCGTGACTAAAATACCTCGATGGGATCTGAGTAAATTCCAATACGTGAAGCGTGATATTGGTAGCTCTATGAAATCTGTCGGAGAAGTCATGGCTATTGGCCGTACATTCGAAGAGTCATTCCAGAAGGCCATCCGCCAAGTCGATCCCAAATACCTGGGCTTCCAGGGCGATCATTTTGAAAATCTCGACGAAGTCCTCAAGAGCCCTACTGATCGTCGGTGGCTTGCCGTTGGACAGGCCATGCTTCACGAGAATTACTCAGTTGACAAGGTGCACGAACTCACCAAGATTGACAAGTGGTTTTTGTACAAGCTGCAGAACATTGTCGATCTACAGAACACCCTCAAGGAGATCGGCAGCCTCTTCGGAATCCAGAAGGAAATGATGCTTAAGGCCAAGAAGATGGGTTTCTCTGATAAGCAGATTGCTCTGTGCGTTGGGGCGACCGAGGATGATGTGCGTGCAAGGAGGAAGAGTTTTGGTATTAGACCCTGGGTTAAGAAGATTGACACCCTGGCAGCCGAGTTCCCCGCTGATACGAACTACCTCTACACCACCTACAACGCTACATCTCATGATGTCACTTTTGATGATTATGGGACCTTGATCTTGGGAAGTGGTGTTTACCGTATTGGAAGCTCCGTCGAATTCGATTGGTGCGCGGTTAATGCAACCCTCTCATTGAGAAATATGGGCAAAAAAACTGTCATGATCAACTACAACCCGGAGACCTACTCCACCGATTTCGACACTGCCGATAGGCTCTACTTCGAAGAACTGAGCTACGAGCGTGTCATGGACATTTATGAGCTCGAGCATGCCACTGGAGTCGTCGTCTCCGTCGGTGGTCAATTGCCCCAGAATATTGCTCTCCGACTCCAAGAAACTGGAGGCGCAAAGGTCCTTGGTACAGATCCAAAGGACATTGACAAGGCCGAAAATCGCCACAAGTTCTCCCAGATCCTCGACAGCATTGGGGTGGACCAGCCAGCCTGGAAGGAGCTGAGTTCCGTAGCTGACGCTGAGGCATTTGCTGACTCCGTTGGGTATCCCGTCCTCGTCCGCCCTAGTTACGTACTCTCAGGGGCCGCCATGAGCGTCATCCGTAGTCATGATGAATTGAACGAAAAGCTTGTTTCTGCCAGCGCTGTTTCCCCGGACCACCCAGTGGTCATCACCAAGTTTATCGAGGGTGCCGAAGAGATTGACGTTGACGCCGTTGCCTCTGCTGGTAAGCTTATTATCCACGCTGTCAGTGAGCATGTGGAAGCTGCAGGAGTCCACTCCGGTGATGCCACCTTGGTCCTCCCCCCTGTCAACCTTGATGAACAAATCATGGCCCGAGTAAAGGATATTGCCGAGAAAGTTGCAAAAGCCTGGAACATCACGGGCCCCTTCAACATGCAGATCATCAAAGTCGATGATCTCGAGGGTGGAGATCCACAACTCAAAGTCATCGAATGCAATCTCCGTGCATCGCGATCATTTCCGTTTGTCAGCAAAGTTCTTGGCACCAATTTCATTGACATCGCTACCAAGGCCCTTGTTGGCAGAGATGTCCCTGAGCCCACTGATATCATGGCTGTCAAGCGCAATTATCTTGCTACTAAAGTTCCTCAATTCAGCTGGACCCGTCTTGCTGGCGCTGACCCATACCTTGGAGTTGAGATGGCCAGTACTGGTGAAATCGCATGCTTCGGTAAGGATCTGGTCGAAGCATACTGGTCCTCGCTGCAGTCGACGATGAACTTCCGCATGCCAGAACCGGGCGAGGGCCTTCTGCTTGGTGGTGACACTGAGATGTCCGAAATGCCTCAGATCGTCGATTACCTTAGCCCGCTCGGATATAAGTTGTATGCTGCCAGCCCAGAAGTCAAGGCTCGTCTGGAAGCAAGTGCCAAGGGCGATGTCAAGATCGAAGTCATTGAATTTCCCAAGGAAGACAAACGGGCCCTGCGCGAGGTGTTTGAGAAGTACAATATTAGTGGTGTTTTCAATATTGCTAAAAGCCGTGGAAAGACACTTCTCGATGAGGACTATGTCATGCGACGAAATGCTGTCGATTTCGGTGTTCCGCTCTTTATGGAACCTAATGTAAGTCTCGAGCAAAACATTTCCCCATTTTTCCCGTTATCAGAAATTGTGCTTTCTTGTCTTTGAGATGGTTTCCACTAACAGAGCACTGCTATGAAACAGACCGCCGTCCTCTTCGCTAAATGTATGAACAAGAAGCTTCCGCGCCAGGAGGGAATCCCCTCCGAAGTCCGCAGTTGGTCTAACTTCGTAGGCGGCAAACTTTTGTAAAACGAGATATTTTAGGGATGACCGATGACCTTTTTTCTTCATCCATTTTTAGACATGAGCTATTCTCTGGAAATCACAACCAGTTATTAGCACACCTGGTTTCGATTCATTTGCTTGGCTTAACCTTTTCACCCATCCTTTACCTTATTTCCTTTTCACATTACCTAGATCTCAAGGCCCCAGCGTCGGACCCTTTTTGTTTTAAGACCATCATTTGTTGCTTTGGTTTGGCCGCAGTGTTACTATGCACGCCTCTTTTATTAATGTCTTTTCCCCCCCTCCCTCATTTCTTAGTTATATATCTGATTTGGCGTCTCCCCAATTTCCACTCACATAACTGCCCCCTCAGAATAACCATCCATGCTAACTAAATTCCTGTGGACTAACCTGCAACATTTTTTTTACCTCATGATATGGGTTGTATTTTATTCTTCCTTTTCTATCACGTTTTTTTAATGCTCTTTTTATCTTCTACTTCTTTTTTTTTCGCATATGCAAAAGTTCCATTGCGGATACCATGATTGCGCTTGAGAATCAATGCTGAGCTACTTATTTCAACTTCAATTGAACTTGCATCGCTACGGTTTGTTGAACGTTTTCTGTATATGCTCGTATGATGTACGTAGCAGATCCATCTGTAAATGGTAATTGGCGACGAAAATGTGGACTTGGGAAGAATTTAAAGCCTACTTGGGCCCTGAAATTGCTCTAAGCCGGAATAGGCTAGCTTGTATTTCAAAATAATGTTGTCACAGCTAATTTTCTGATTTGGAGGGGATTGATAAAATAGTCAGTGCTGCATGGGGAAATCAGCTCTGAATTGAGGGGTTGATAATTAAGAGGTTACATTGAAGCGCTAGTTTTTTTATTGTACAGGTGTGTATACACCATGTTTGATTTAGAATAGTGTATTTTTTAAAAGTGTATTTATGTATATAGTTTGTTTATTGTGTATTAGCTCTTTTTATAAGATGATTTTGTGGGATGGTTGGTCTTCCATTGGTGGGAGGACTGGCCAGCTAACTGATAGACGCGTACATCACGTGAGGTGATGCGGCTACCGGGCGGTCATGCCCAACAGATTTATTATATTATTAGCTCTTTTGTGTGAGAATTTGCTAACAAATTGACTGTCAAGCTAACAAAGTTTGAAGAATATAAAATTCTTCATATTAACAAAATATTAATTTTTATTTTTTTATTTATTTTTTTTATTTTCATATTTTTATATTTTTTTATTTTTTATATATATATATATAAGAATAATACTCTCACTAATGCTTTAAGCTTAAAAGAAAATATTAATAATATGATAAAAAGATTAGATCTATTTAATCTTGAGAAATCTAATTAAATGCAGTTTCTTTTATTAGTTAAAGTTTAGTATGTTTATGAAATTCTTCAAAATAGATCAAAGAAAGGCAGAGAAGGCAGCTTAGCAAGTGCAACAGCAGCTTTAATATGAGATCTAAAAAGACGCATGTAGCTAAGGAGACTTGGGGAAAGCAGCTCACAAGACCAAAGAAGATGAGAAAGCAAGAAAACTAAGAGAACGTGAAGCTCAAGGGGTAGTCAGAGAGGCAAAGAAGCTAGCTACAGCTTCAAGTTGAGAAGGAGGAATGAGCTCACATTTGCACAGCAAAGCGTAGATTGAGCAGTGTGTCTGCATCTGCTGCAAAGTGATGGCAGAAGCAGGCTTCTGCAGCAGCTCCTAACCTTCTGAGCCTATACAAGCTTTCCTATCTAGGAAATAAGGTCAGCCTCAAAAAGTGCTCCCAAGCAAACTACATGCTGATCCTACCCGGCAGTCAAAATCTAACACTCCTTCATGATCCTCTGCCTCCGCGCTAAATCTCTCACCATGGTCGCAAAATCAGGCCATCCACACGTCTATTCTATTGAACCACTGATTTTATATATATCTTGAAGAATGCCTGTATTGATAGCTTTTAATTTAATTAATTTCTAATGAGAAGATACTTGAATTTCTTCTGGGTGCGGCGTTTTCGATTGCGCGGCTCGTTTAATGGTACAGCTCGTTTTGTGGTCAGTCACGTTACTTGTATATTTTCTTTTTTTTTTGTAACGAAGAGAGAAAGACTACCATTCATCATACGGAGAACAAAAGCAATAAGCAGAATAAAAGGAGATAGACCATCGAAACAGCCTAAGATGTGTGGCACGGAGAGAATTGTCTGCATAGACCCTCAAGCAGAGCCCAAACAAACTGTAGACATGGGGCTGGGACTATTTGCCACCTCCAAGATACGTCCTGGTGCTAATGTTTTCGCAATCACTGCCAACTTCGCTACTGTCCTGGATACTCCGCGGCTGAAGGATACCTGCTCGAATTGCTTCGTAACGGTAGGGGATGAGGTGAACCCTGGGCTAACGCTGAAAGCGTGTACTGGCTGCCGTGTCGTCAAGTATTGTAATGAGGTATGTTGGGGCGTTGGTGTTTGTTTTTCCCCGAGTCCTCTCCCCATCCTCCTCTGGATGTTTAACGTTATGTGTTCCAAAACTAATTTCAAATTTCTTTTTATATTTTTTATTTCCAGAGATGTCAGACTGAAAGTTGGGCTGCATCCCACAAGAAAGAGTGCAGTATATATAGAAAGTGCCATCCGAATATTCTGCCTATGCACGCGAGAGCTGTTCTAAGCATGATTTCAGAGCCAGATAATGTCATTCTGAAGGAAATGCACAGAACCCATCATACGGCGGTCGATACTCTTGGAAATCATTTTACAGAGATGATGGAATTGGCTGGAGAGCAGATCGAAAGAGTACTCACAAGCGCAGAAGGACTCAAGGAAATATCGAACACAGATGTAGGATTGCCCAGGCTAGTGCGTTATTTTACAATGGTGTGGGTTCTTTTTTTTTTTTTTTTTTTTTTTTTTTTTTCCCTAATTATACCGATGCTGTTGGAGCGGCTAATGATTGGTAAATAGTTGGAAACCAATGCCTTTACTCTGACAAACCGATATTTCGACAGAATAGGACTATGCATGCTTCCTTTTGCGTCGTATGCAAATCATAGCTGCGAACCGAATGCTTACATTGGATTTGATGGACCAGTGATTTATCTCAAGGCACTACAGGATATTGCTCTGGACGAGCAAATATTTATATCCTACATAGATAATACCGAGCCATGGGAAAAACGCCAATCGGAACTCAAAAAACGGTATTTTTTTACATGCAAGTGTCCCAAGTGTGTGCAAGGTCAGGCAGCACGAGAGGACCAGTATTTGAACGCTGAGGGTCCACCCACCAGTGTACCGGAGAAATTAGCATGGGATATTGTTGCTATGCCTGAAAGGCCAGGTTTAACACCTAATGCCTTGGTTGTACAGGACTTAGCAGCACTTACGAGGCTTCAATCAACAGGATGCTTTCCAATAACCCGTCAACCATATCCACATGTTCATGACGACTTCATCGTGCAACTCCTAGAAGCCAAATGTTACAGATCTGCCTTCCTCCCTACACTAATTCGGTATTTACACATGGATCCCGTCTTATACCCCAGCCGCTACCATCCAATCCGTAAGCGAAATACATGGGCACTTGCGAAGCTTGTGCGGTGTATCAATGACCGCACAGTGCACGATAGAAGCCCGCCAACTACGAATTATGACAACTTTGGGGACCACTTTCCATGGATTTACTATTCTCTGCTGAGTGAGCTCGTGGAGATTTACGATGATTCACTAGGTCTCCAGAATTTACTCAAGCTTCAACTGCGCGAGATCAGCGACGAACTCGAACGCCATGGGATTGACTTCAGTACTGCTAATGAGCGCCAACTGAATAAGATTTTAATTGACATTGCATGGAAAGATGTAAAGTCCATGGTGGACCGCCAGCTATCAAAATTGGTAGCGATGGGCGGAAAAGAGGGGAATATTTATGACTGATCTGATGTATTTTCTGGATGGCTATTGCCATTCCCTCGTCAGCAGCACATACTCTCGCCACACATCCTTTTCCCCCCGATCTGCCTTTTCGCTCCACCCTCGTCGTACGGCAATCTCCGTTCTCTCATGGATTTTCTTTCGTGGTTCAACATTGCCTGTTCACGGCATTGCTATGCCATGCATAACCTGTTTACCTTATATGCGCAACAACATTGTGTTGTGGGTCCACGACAAAAAGGATTGGACTGTTCATCATTTCTTTTCTTTTGTTTATTTCTTCTTCCATTTAAAAAGCAATCTTGAATCTTGCCTCAGTATCTCGAGGGACGGGGAGCAGGATAGATTTATCTATTACGCATGTTTGGTTGCGTAAAACGCAGTTTATCTACTTCTTCTAGCTTCCAGCTCCCAAAATTAACAGATATTCTGTTTCTCTTGAAACTGGATTGTATTGAGAAGATATTTGGCCTTCCTGACACTATCAAGTAAGGCTTCCGCTTCCTGTCTCCAGCGTCTGATGTCAAGAGAGGAATTTTGCGGCCTTAACATACCCCTTATGTTATCATATGTATCATTAATTATATTACCAGCCTTGGTCTCACTGGTTTCACCTTCAGCTTCGAGCAATTTCAACTCCAGTCTCACTCCCACAAGAGTGGCTATCTTGCCAACCTCCTAGAATGCTAATAGCACTACGTTGAGCGCGAACCTCAGTCCCTGCACGACAAAGAAACGCAAGAACCGAGTTCGAATGTCGCGGTTTTAACCCAACAAGAACCGTCAACTCTATGCTGTCACTTGAGGTAAACTTTGCGGATCTTCAGTTCAACCACCCGGTCATGATCACTGCGGCCAACTACCTACCGGATGAACACGGACTAGCAAATACAGTTGCTTACGTAGAAACAGTCATCCAACCGGCACACACACAGGAATACGTTCACTTCCCCATTTTTGGGATTGACGAAGACTGGTTGAGCGGTTGGGAAGACAGCTCAGGCGGTGTAGAAATCGGATCAGAAGAGGGCTCAGAAGATGATTTAGAAGAGGCCTCGGTTGGCCTAGCAGCGAGTTCAGCTAACCCTTAAGACAGTTTAGACGAGGGTTTAGACGAGAGTTCAGAAGACGATGAAGGTGATGGAGGTGGTGGGGATGATGAAAACGATGACGATGACGGCGATGATGGCGACGATGATGGCGACGATGGAGATTATGACGATGAAGAGCTTTTCATTGAAGATATGAGTCTTTGGGGTGGAGGAGCTTGGATCCCTCTGCCAAATACTGCACCGACGAAGTGAGCGTTGCCGTAGCTTCCAGCAGGCGCGTTGGGCTCGTGAAATACGCCTAAGGGTGACTTTATATCGCTCGGGAATTTCTGAACTGAATTTGTACTGTTCCTGTCCTGCCTCTGCTTCTTCATCATCTCATTCTTCTTCTCCTCCGCCTCCGCCCTGGTCCTCGTCCGCGTCCTCTTCATCCTCTTCATCCCCTTGGTACGATGGAAGTGATGATAGTGATGATGACGATGATGATGATGATGATGATGATGATGAGAGGAGGTGGAGGATGACGATGACGATGACGATGAAGAGGATTACGACGATGATGACTGCGCTGATGATGCAGTTGCTATCGTTAATGATGAAGAAGAAAATAGAAGTTTCGATGATCTCGAGATGTTTTATGCAAAACGTGCTGCGAGCGAAAAGGAGAGGAAACACGAACGCGAAAATCGAGACTGTACCCTCTCAAAATGGATAATGGCTCCTGGAAGACGTACGATCTTCGCGTCACCCTTCTGAGTGATGGCTTCGATAGGTCTAACTGTACTTTATTGTCTATTTGCACTTTGGTTCTCTTTTTGCCCTTTTATTTCTTTATTTTCACTGTTTTTCGTTCTGTCCTCCTTGTGTCGTTATCTGATTCAAGAGGAGGGTTTGGCGGGTAATTCAGAAAGGTTGGCTGCAGCAATGACTGTGGTAACATATTGAACTTTCTATGAGCAGGGGGACGGTTCATTTTTCGCAAAAGCGTGCTATGATGGGGAGAGAGGTCGACAAACTTGTTTTTTCTTTTTTTTTTTTTGTCTTGTTTTACCCGTTTTTCTTGGAGTGGGTTTTTAGTAATGGGCTGGCAGTTACTTGGTAGTTGTTATGTTTCGAATTACTTCTTGTACTTGTTTATAGCAGGCGTTTCATCTGTTGGTCTTTGTGCCGTCGATTAAGGGAGTCTGAGTTGATATGTCGTTATTTGCGATAATGTAAATCAATTCAACGAAGTCAAGTTGTCGTTACCGGGAAGGATTGTATTCCAACCATTGCCCTCCGTCCTTTATCATTCTATGCTCGCTGTGGTACCACGAGAATTGGCAGGGTATTGCTCGTTGTACAATTCCATAGGGGTTGCGTAAAGTTGATCCTCGCAGCTTCAAAAAAAAATATCCCTCTTCATTGCATTATCCTTTTAGCCATTACGGTATGGTGTAGCCCGGTTCCGGGGGTAAGTAGGAAGTTCGAATGGTATGCTAGTGGTGTTTAACTCTTACAACTCTTATCATTCGTACCGTTATTCCGTTTCAATACACACTAACACTCTTTGCCTCCTCTGGTAGATCTGGAGGTTATTGGTTCCTCATGGCGGAGGAATAGAAAGAGAAAAGAAGTTGGGGATCATTTAGATAGGGACATGAAATTATGTTCTTCAGCTATCATCATAGAACAACTGGCTACAAAAAACAAGGAGTGGGACCTTGGTGCGTCTTTTGAGGAAAACAACTTTCATGACCTTCTCCATAGCCCACAAATATGATTGCCAAAAAAAAACATGAAAAGGAAACCCCGACCGAACAAACAGCATCAATTGCGAAAACATATAATTTTTGTTTATTTGAGGGGGATGAAACGCGAGGAGTGGGTAGCACCAATACCGGGTCTACCGTGCTTGACAGGTTTGCTGAAAGAACCGTAAGTATGTTTATTGTCAAATATTTCCATCTAGGGGTCAAGACGGCCAAGCGCGAAATGTTGAAAACATACTATGAGATCGAGAATTCACCAAGATAGTGGCCAACCATCTCGGGCTTGATTTCCACCTGGTTGAATTCCTTCCCGGAGTAGATACCGATGACGCTGCCAATCATCTCTGGGACGACGATCATATCACGGAGGTGAGTCTTGACGAGATCTGGCTTCTCGTTGGGCTTGGCCTCTTGCTTGGCCCTGCGGAGTTTCTTGATCAGGCCCATTGGCTTGCGCTTCAGGCCACGGTTGAACCGGCGGCGGGCACGGGCGTGGACGACATCTCGCAGCTGTTCGGAGGAAAGGTCTAGGAGTCTGTAGATTGACAATGGGAGATTTGATTAGAAAGTTGGAATTCCAAAGTTTTGCGCAGTATTTTCTCTTTTCAATAGGAGTTCATGGGTGTAAATGTGGAGAGAACGTACTGGTCGAGGTCGATTCCCCGGTAAGAAAACTTGCGGAAGGCTCTCTTCTTCTTAATTTCTGATTCAAGGCAGAAAGGTCTGTCAGTCAATTAATCGTATCTTTTGTTTTCCTTTTCTTTGCCCTGCTCAAATCAACTTCCACAATATGGAGTTGTTTCCTGTCCGTTTACAACCCCCCCCCCCCCTTTCCTCTCCTTCCCGCAACTCCCCATCTTCTCTTCACATATGTATATCCTGTCTCTCCCACATAGCAAAAGGATTTTCCCTCCTCATTACCCTTCTCGAACCAAATCCACAAGGCAAACCGAGGGGTACACAACGGGGTAAGATTGGTATTTATAACACGTACCAGCAGCCTCATCGGCATTCTATGTTCACATAAACTTGTCAGTATATATATATCATCCCACACCATCTAAGAAAGCATCGGAAACAGAGCCCTCACATATTCAATATCAGCCATGATTGCAAATATCCCTCTCAAGACGCTTTCCGAGAGCCGTTCGAAAAACGATGGGTGGATGTTGTCGCACTGAAGGGGCTTAAAGTCGGTCGGTCGTTCGTTTGGTGGGCCAGCGAGGAGTTTACAGCGTGAGAAGGTAAGGCTCGGCTAAGCGACGTCGCTAAGGTTTTCTTGCCCTAACCTGGCATCCCTATTGGGACTAGCGGCATTAGGGCTTGCGCCGTTTTGGGCATGGCCGAAAAGGGAAACGCTATGTTCCATCAGAAGATATTTTGGCAGCTACGAGAGGCTCAACAGCGATCGATCGATCGATCGATTATCAGAGAATACGGGCTCCATCTCCAGAGTATGTGGACGTCGGTTGGTGGAGGGGAGGGGGGAATATCTATGTGCAACTCTGACTACAAGGCAAAACATAAAACGTTACAGAGACAAATCATGGACTCCTGGGATATTTCTACATCCGCTAGAGCAACATTCACAATAGACAACTGAAAATCTGAAATGTTAGGCAACTGGTCTTCCGATGGGTGTCCGGGTTCTCTCACATATACCACCCATATAAATGACCAACGTCAAATCCAAATTGCTCTAGGATTCAACCATAATCGTCAGATTCGTATTGCCCTGTCCCAGAGCACATAGTTCCAGCTGCCGGTATTTCCCCGCTGAACAGAAAAGAAAGAAAAATCAAATAATTTAATCAAAAAGACCGAAGCCCATGTCCTCATCGGACTCTTCCTTCTCCTCTTCCTTCACCTCCTCCTTCTCAGCGGCAGGGGCACCGCCAGCGGCAGCAGAAGCAGCGCCAGCGGCAGCAGGGGCAGCTCCAGCGCCACCAGATGGGACTGAGGCCAGCTTAGTAGAACCCTCAGAAATCAGCTACAACACAACAGTTTCACGTTAGCATATTTCATTGCAAACAAAAACCATTAGCAGAGATCGCACTGACTTCGTCGAGGTTCTTTCCCTTGAGCTCAGCGATGAGCTTCTCGAGGCGCTCAACGTCGGCATCGATACCAACGGCCCCAAGAACGGTCTTGATATCGTCAGCAGAGGGGGAGGTATTACCACCCAGGCCAAGGAGAAGGTAGGCTGCGAGATGCTTCATTTTGAATGTGGTTTCTGGACAGCAAGAGCCTTAATATCAGTAAAACTGGAATGTGTGAAAGGGTAGAGAGAAAAAATCAGCATCCAACGAAAATGCGCACTTTTAGGGCCTTCCCGAACAGGAGAATCAATCGATTTAACCGCGAGTTGGGCGGAGACTGAGACGTCGAGTTCGATAGTGGGTTGAAATCAGTCGGTGGTTGAATGCAGAAAGACAAGGTTTCCCCTTTTTTATGTGATGTTAAAGCTCAAAATAATTATTGGCAGCAAGCGAGAGTGCGTTAGTCAGCATGGCATCAGTGGTGCTAAACTACATGTTCCGTTGGGCTAAGCCATTTCTGTCCCAGTGAAATGACTAATGTGGCACGTGATTCATCGATTATTTCTATCCGACTCGGGCTTCTTTTGCAGATTTGGCAACATCAACTCTTTCACACCTTTGTTCTTTTACTCACTTTAATTAGAGAGTTTCAGTGACCACAGCTGTCTACCGTCCCTCTATCAGGTTCTACTTTGTCACCAGCTTGATATTGTTATTTTTCGTTTCTCAAACAGTGCCAGTTTGGACTTAACAGACTGCTTTTAGTGGTCGTCGACATGTTCCGGCTTAAGATCCTCTCGTCATGAACCCCTCCTTTTCCACTGATCAACCGATGAGAGTCTCCTCCAAAAGCTAGATTACGATTCTAATTTTGATCTAGCTAGTCAACATGACTGTCAGAATTCTCATGGCTCTGTTCCGTTACTTCAAGGATGGGCGCTAATCTTGCTCTTTTACAGTTCCTTAGCTCAGTTCTCTCGTCAATTGAGACGGGTGATCCTATTCCCACCGCCCCTCCTGCAGGCCGGAACCCTGCACCTGGGCCTGCATCTTCTGTTTCCAAAGCCAACTCGACTTCTTCCTCAACGACACAAACCAACCAACGCCCTACAAATGGGCAAAAGCGTCGAGCGGAGGATGATGTTCGCCCCACAGGAAAGCCCAATAAGGTTTCCAGGTCTTCTTCTCCCCAACGACCAACTTCTCAAAAACCGACTCCAACTTCGTCGGTGGCTGCAAGAGCCCTCTCTGTCTCAAAACCAGAGGCACCGAAGTTACCTACGAGAACCCCATCCACAAGCACATCCAAAAATGCGGGGCTACCTAGTGCTACCCCAGCTAAGCCACCTCCCAAAGGATCATATGCGGAAATGATGCTTCGGGCCAAGGCTCTCCAAGAAAAAGCTCCAACACAGCTTGGCATAATTAAGCACCATTCGGTATCCAAGGAGAAGCAGCTTCAACAGAAACGTAAGGCAATGGAAGCAAAGCAGAAAGGAGTTGAGGGGCAAAAAGGCGCTGAAGGGGTAAAGAACAAAATAAATGAAAGCTCAGCCACTAAGTCCTCGAATACCAATGGACAACAAACACAAAGATCGAGTGCAGCAAGGGCTGCTCTGTTGAAAAGCCGTGGTGAATCGGAATACAAAGGAACCGCTCGTCCTCCACCTACTCCCTCAGCTCAAGAGTATAAAGGCACATCTGGCCTTCCCAGCCGTCGTGCGTCTAATAATGTCAGAGCAAATGGTTGGGGTAAGAAAAAGGCTCCCCATAAGCCCGTTCGGGATGAATATTTGGGCACGGATGAAGAAGATGAAGGTGAATTTTACGACGATTACGATGAAAGAGACTATTATTCCGACGAATCAACGGATATGGAAGCTGGCCTGATGGATGTTGAGGAAGAAGAGCAGCGTGCCCTTAGAGTAGCCAAGCTCGAGGATGAGAAAGAACTACAAGCTGAACTGGCCGCCAAAAGGGAAAAAATGGAACGGAAGAAGAAGCTTGCTGCTCTGACTAAATCTCGCCGTTGATAGGATGGGATACGACCAGGCAGAGCTCGGCGCATACACACCTACATGCAAGTTCCCTTGTTGTACGGATAATGCCCCTCATGTGCTCTCATATTTTTGCTATACATATATGCTTGTACAGTTTCTGAAATCACAGATCCAAGTCCAATGGACTTGGGTGGCTACGCAGGAGAATGACCCGTGCGTGATATCCATGTTCAGGTCTCACAGCTACTGCAGAAAGGATAATCAAATTGTCTTGGTGCCCATAGAAGGGTTTCTTTTGTGATTGCATCACTTATGTGCCATTTCTTACCCTCTCCTTTTTGTCACCGTCTTATCTCGGCTGAGTTCTATTTGTTCCTTTTTCCTGCTTGCTTGCTTTCCCGTTTTTCCCTTTTCCTTTTTTTGCATAGCGAAGCGAGTTTAGTTTTTTTTCATCATTTGAATTTGGTTAGCTGAGATTTAGAGCACTGATCATGGCGAAGTAATTAGTATCATCTTATCTCTTTTGTAAACATTTTGAAGCTGTGAAGAAACCTAAAATCCAGAGCGTCGTGGTGGTGGTGGTGGTGGTGGTGGTGACATCACACCTCCGCCGTAGTCAGTTAAGGGTTAGTTAACTAGTAAACTACCCCATCCATTCATCCAACTTCCCAACAACATCGATAGCTTAACCAGCGAGCATACATCTACAAGTGCCATTAAAATATCACTTCAACCACACGTACATACGTCGGAAGATATACGCATACTTCCTATAGACATCAAAAGCAAGTGCATGAAATCAACTCCCACATACATCCAATGCCCAATCCCGACACCCCGCCGCTGCAGCAAGCTATGTCTGCCTCATCGAAGAGGTTGCTCGCCAATGTCCGCAGGATTATTCCACCCATGTTAGAGAAGTTTCACAAAGGTGAGTTTCGTATCTGCATATCTATCTCCTTCCGTCATTCGTTTTGCCCCCAAGGCTTCACTGTTTGGGTTTAAGGTCGATTTGGCTTGTTTGGGTGACTGGTAACTCCAGTGAATGGTCTGGGGTGAACTGGTTCTGTTAGTGTGCAAATAGATTAAATAAATAAGACAGTATCCCCTTGTTGTTGAAGGAGACAGTCGAGATGCCGGCTATCTATTTTCTTTTTCCAATACTGATTATACAATACAGGCCAGCTTGGACGTGTCGCGGTCATCGGGGGAAGCCCAGAGTGTGTAGCCCTTGTGAAACCTCTTTTGTTCCCTAAAAGTTAGCAGATGTCTTCCTATAAAATATTAGAGGAATTGCCTGCCTCGTTTTGTTTGAAGGACTTTGTTTTCCATCGATTATTGTGCATGTTGCGTTTTGAGGATGTTGACTTTTGGATCACTATTAGCAACACCATCGCCCCATTGAGTTGGGGTCTACCTACTATGCTTCTCATTTCTTTTAAAAGACCTCGAGGGATTTAATTATTTATATCTTTTTTGTTACGAATTTTGCACAGTTCCACTACTTTCAAGAAACCGTCTACGGAAGAAATTTTTGCATCTAAACTGGGCAAAAGAGAAACTGACAGCGCTCTCTACACTGCACAGCTATACCGGAGCTCCATATTTCTCCGCAATGGCATCTGCAAGACTTGGTATATCTACCCCCCTTTACCCAGGCATTCCTGTTCCTTTGGCTAAAAGGCGCTCCGGAATTGCATACATTTCCGCTAACTCAATTCTCCAAATTTCTAATAATAGGGTGTGATATGGTAAGTTAAAGCCGAATGCATAAAACTGTGGGCTTTGATGAATTCTCCCCACCCTTGCGCTAACCATTGCATTGATAAAATCACAGAGCCATGTCATCTGCGAACCATCCGCAGCAACAGTATGCTCAACTCTCCCTATCCCAAACAGTAGCTCCCAAAATTACTCCATCTCTAACCGCGAATTTAGGTAATAAAAAGCTACTCACCAAACTTGATGGTTCATCCAATCCTTCAATCATCCACCACACTCTCTGCATTAAAATCCAATCCACTCCCAGCACCAGACACTCTTACACTTGCTAAGCCCATAATATCCTTCTTGCCCCGCCTGCATGTCCTGGTAATTGGCCCAGGCCTTGGTCGGGATCCAACAACGCAACAAATAGTCATCGAAGTCCTCAAGGAGGCTCGCTCTCGCCAAATGCCCGTGGTCCTAGACGCGGATGCCCTGCTTCTCATCCAAGAGCATCCAGATCTCGTACGCGGCTATCCAGAATGTATTCTGACACCTAACGTTATCGAATTTGCCCGGTTGGTGAAAGCTATCGGTGTAGATGTGTCATCTGCATCAACCAATGATGCGGGACAGTCAGAGGCCTGCAAGCGCTTGTCTAATGCATTGGGTGGTGTAACGATTATACAGAAAGGGGCTCATGATATCATTTCCAATGGGATTACTAGCATCGTCTCTGATGTGCGGGGCGGGTTGAAGAGGAGTGGCGGGCAGGGGGATACGTTGACGGGAACTCTGGGAACGATGCTTGCTTGGCGTAAAGCGTATCATGAGGGGTTGTGGGATACGGGGGAATCGGAGGCGGGGGAGAGGAAAGCAGAGCCATACGAACACGATATTGAGAAAGAGCTTTTTCTCAGCGTGGACGGGTGTAGCGGTGGTAATGGGAAAAGGAAAAAATTGTCCCCACCCGCGACGCTTTTACTGGCTGCATGGGCCGGGAGTGCTATTACAAGGGAGTGTTCGAGGAAGGCGTTTGTAGCAAAAGGGAGGAGTATGCAGGCTAGTGATTTGACGGATGAGGTTCATGGGAGTTTTTTGGATTTGATTGGGGAGCCGGGGGGTCCGAAGTTATGAATAAAATGTGTTTTGTATGTACTCTTTCATTGGAATTCTGTAACTTTGGGTTGGGTGCATCGGGTTCTTATGTGGAATTTATGTTTTTACAGGATTCTTTCTCTGAAGTCTGGAAAGAAGAGGAATGGTGAAATATATTTCTAGGTTAGGCAGCACGTACAAAAGCATCTAACATACATATCACCTTAAGTAGGAGGTCACTGGAGGTGAAATTTAGCCAGAGGGAATTTCATCAAAATCTCGTTCCACCTGGAGAAGAAACTTCTCGGCAGCTCAGTCTACATTGAGGAAGCAAACGCTAGGAATACGGAAGAGAGCATGAGGATAATTGACTTAACCGCATGACTCCTTTGAATTGTCAATGGGGGTATCCTAGCAAATTAAATTAAAACATACATGTAGATAAGAAATCGAAATAGCAGCAGGTTGCCGAAGAAAGTTCGCAAAAATCAAAAGCCACGAGTAGGTGGCGCATTGAGGGGGCTGTCATATGTACAAGTGGGACAAGGAGCGTGGTCGCATCCGATACACCTTTCTGTGTTTTGAAAAATATATTCACTTGTGCCGGCGGGGCATTTACACTGCAATTATGAAGTTCTGGTTAGAGGCAAGGAAGTAGGACATGTGAAACTAACGCTTGCAGGTGAAACGGTAGACTGGGCTTACACATGTAATAATCGTCGATTCTGGAAACTTGTTTTCAATAGGAATGAGTCCATTTAAATTGAATCTGTAGTTATTCTGCGCAAGTAAACCGAGGTTGTTTAGATTGGTTCTTCGGGGTCCAGTGGCCGCTGGTACCGTTTGTTGCGAATTGAAGATCATCGCCGACGGGTCAGAGCTCGAAGAGGGTTGAGTGAGCATACTAGCATTCAAAAACGATCCCGATGTACCGGAATCGTATTTCCGTTTAGTGGGTAGAGCGACACTTGATGCGTCTGTCGTCCGAGTTGGAATCTGATTCACTGCAGCCCGAGAACGGCGAGGGTGCCTAAGGTTGGAATTCGTGGAAGGTCGCTGAATCGATGCGCTCACATTCATATGGGTTGTCTTAGTAGGAGCGGAAGGTCCCGGAGCCTTTTCTGGTGGTTCTCCTCCGCCATCGCAGCTTCGGCTGTTCGTTCCCTCGCCTCCATATCTCTCCGGTTCTTCGCTGTCATCTGATGCGTCACCGGTTGTATTTTCCTTCTCTTCATCTTGTTTGGTAAGATGGCCCTCTGGATGAAGCCAAGTAGCAATCTCTTCTCTCATCTTGAAATGCTTGTTGTCAATATGATGAAACCGCTCATCCCAAGCATCCAAACCCTCGCTGTGCAATGAGATGAGCTTGCGACAAAACCCGCACCAGAACTTAAACTGTCCATTCCGTCCGATTTTATTCTCTTTCACGATCACTTTAGCTTTTGCCTCATCGTAAGAATGTTCGGACTGGAGATGCTGAGAAAATTTATATGCACGATCAAATATGCGGGCACAATCAAATTGAGAACTAGTCATACAGAGAGCCACGGGAAAACCTTCATGGTCGGGTCTTTCCATTAACGTCTCGTCTTTGTTGCTTATTTCTTTTGCCCTAGCCGGATGACCTCTTTCTGGACAACGCCAGCACTGGATCTGGAAATGCCGGGTATTCTCGTGGCGTTTCCAGTCATCTTTGCTACCGAATTTTTTGAAGCACCTGGGGTAAGTACATCCGTACGGCCGATAGTGACGTTTCTCATGTTTCCTAGAGCAGTTTACTGTTAGCAAAACACCATACTCGGAGGGAGAAAAAGGAATTTCATGATCTGATATAAAGTCATACTTCATCTCAGAGAGTCGTTCTGTCTCTCGTGTACAGTCTTTATATCTACATCTAAAACGACCTTTTCTGAGGCATGGCAGGGGGTCGTTCTGAGTAGGCTGAGCAGTTAATTCTCGAGGCGGTGCATCTTGGAGGGTTTGCCAGATCTCTAGCTGTTGCAAACTAGTGGTGAGTAACTCGCGCAACACCTTCGCTCTGGACTCAATCGACCCGTCATTAAGGAGCTCGATTGATGAGGGAAGGGTAGAGTCAGCCTGCCGTTGTGAAACATGGACAGCAGCAGCAGCTGATATGTCAGTGCCAACTTTCTGCAATTGTCCTGGAGGTGAAATGTACATCTCTGCTCCCAATGCTTTGAACAAACCTATCACAACCTCTGTGACAGAGTCTTTGCTAGACAGAAATTCTTGGCCTTGACCCATTCCACTAAAAAGAAAAGAGGACAATTGCTCATCTCCACCGTTGCGTTCAAAACACTGACCAAGATTTCGCTCGGGTGGGGGATAGTCCCGGCCAGTTTGATCGTTTCCTTCCGGCATACAACCTTCCCCCAAAGAGCCAGAGCAATTCTGAGATGAAGCGTCAGAATTGATCGAGTGGTTGAAAGGCTGATTAACAAAATGATGGGCGTTTAACTGAATATGCAATGGATAATTGGAACCATGGACCAGAGCACCATTACCCATATCGACGGTCTCAACGCGGATGGACTGATGATTATTGATTTGGCCTTTATCAAAAAGAATTCTAGACCTACAGGTATGTGGATCAGTAACTTCTCGTTGCGGATGTGAACTAGTGGGCGTTTGATACTCCCGGAAAGTGTTCCCAGTAGTCCGCCTTATGGATTCGAACCAATGTAGCGAGCTAACTTTAGGGTTAGTAAATTCATGTATTTCGCTTTGAAGAACAGACAGGGGTATGTCAAAAGCAAAATAGGTCTTACAGCTGGATAAGGTGGTCCGTATCTTCGTCCTTATGCATGCGTTTCAGATGCTGTTTGAAATTGTCATATCGAGGCCAGATCTTTTCCCTCTTTGAACAATTTTCCGCAAAGCACTTGAACTCTTTGTGGTTTCCATGCCTGGGCTCTATTCCATGAATGCATTTCTGATGTCTTTCCAAGTCATTGATCGTCCCGAAGCCTTGCGTTCGACTGCACCCTTGCTCCTCACAACGGAAACGTTTCTGATGACGCAGCATGTGTTTTCTATGAAGTTAATATCAGCCACATCCATGTTCACATTTGCCCCTGGAACTTACTTTTTATCTGATTGACATTTCCCAGTCCATCCGCACTCCCCTACGTCGCAGGAAAACTGTGTTTCGTTTGCTTCTGATGTGACCTCACTACCACCTTGCCAACTCTGCTCCTGCTGCTGATGACTGAGGGTAGGTTGATTGTACAATAGTGGATAGTTGTGTGGAGGGTCTCCATACGAAGGTGTCATAGATGGATGAACGATATGTTCAATTTGAAAGGAGCTGACAGCGGACGTCGTTGCTGGGCTTCCGGTACCATAACCGGGGTCTGATATGGCAGGGCCATTGATTTGACTAACCAAATCTGAGTGTATATTTTGACAATTGCCGGACATATATATATCTGTACCATGGACACCACTCCTCTGCCTTTCGTGATTACTTCGGGGCATTGCGTTTTCAGCAACTCCAGTAACTCGTACGGGGCTCCATGGCTGCTGATGAGTGGAGGTGAGATTAAACCCAGGATGTTGTTCTAACAAATCGCCATTAAAACCGCTATCAACAAAGCGCCACGACGGTGTAGCCGCAACATGTGCTTGTAAATCTATGCCAGAGGGCGAAAATCCCGGTACAGGCCGTAGAGAGTTATATGAAGACACATCTATAGGGCCAGCAGCGCGCACATCCATTATCCCCTGAAGAACATCTCCGATGTCCCAGGCTGTTTTGCCATCGAGGTTGTTCGGTGCATTCTCACCGGGAGCCTGGGGGAAATAAAGAAAATGTATTAGTTTTCAGCAAAAGAGAGGCGATGCAACATAACAATATATTTTGCTTCATGTCGAAAGGGAACAATGTTAACTCGCTACTCTCGTAGTTTTGGCAGGTAATCAGAATTTTTGGGGGGGGGGAATAAAATAAATAAAGAAACAATCCCTTTAGAAAGAGAAGACTAGATGAGGAATATATTATTCTTACAGTGAAGCAAACATTCCGTTGCCCACGAGAATGAGGTGAAGAATAACTTTGAGACATGACGACAACAACCCTAACCACGTTTCACAAAACTGAGGTTAAAAAGTCAAGATCATTTCGAAAAACAACAATATGCGAAAGAACCAGGGATTCGTGTTTGTTGTTTTGCATTTAAGAGTACGGATACGTGGCAAGGTAGAGGGAGGACGTATGCAGTGTGAATATGGAATGAACTGGTCGCTATGCCGCAGAAATCTATGGAGAAAAAATTATGGCGGTGAAGATAAAACTATCCCTTCAGGTAGAGAACAGGAGGGGCAGCCCATAAAACACGAGAGAGGGAAGAGCTTAGAAGATCGGTGGTGCGGCGACGGTTTCCAACAAAAGTTCAGTTGACAAAGATAAGGATATCTTAAGGAGGTATACTTGAAAGTGCAGGGGCAAAGACCTTGACAATAAAGGGTGAGGCAGTGGGCTCAAAAGGCTGACAGAACTTCAACGTTAAGCTAATCAGATGGGGAAGAGTAACAATTAAGTAGAGCAAGTGGAGCGAGGGAACAACGATAATGGTGACCCCAGTGAACACAAGACATGGATGTTGCCCTCAAACTTAGGAGCCGCAAATACACTCCGCTTATTCCAACAACCTATACTTGTTTGGATGGTGCAAAATCTCGCGGATTTGAAGCCGAGAGGCCGGATTTGGCCTCTTTTGGGTTCCCGGTTACCCTCCTTGTCTTTTTCGTCTCGAGGCCTTCGTCAGGTTGTCCACGGTTTAACGTGGCGCTGTAAGAAGGGCCTGAGTGTAAGAGAAAAGAAAAATCTTAAAATGGAAATAAAATGGGAAAGGTCCGTTCGTTCTCTGGCGTCCTTACACGTTCCCGACGATCCGTCGGACTTCCAGCAAGGAATCGTTCGTCCACAAACCCTGCGACGGGGATACGGGATGGAAAGTAGAGCAATTAAGCAAAGTGTAACGCGTAAAAAGAATAGTGGGGTGCTAGCACTCCGGATGGAATAGTCCCAGAGAGCAAAATGATTGGCATCAAGCCCTGTCATGTGTTGAAGAAATTAAATGAAGATGATCGATTAGCGAACCACTTCCTTGGGGATCTAACATGTACCGATTTGCTCTTTTGTTCCTCACCTGCAGAAAAAGTGGGACAGCAGGAGAGAAGTGAATAAAAAGCAAAGGAGCAAAAAGTCCGGGTTTGAGACGAGCAAATAGGATGGCCGAAAGGTTGAATAGAAGAACATTGGAATTTTGGAACCTCATGCTGGCACCGGCTGGGTTTGCATCGGAGGGAAAAGAAAATACTGCCCAGCAACGGTGGGCGCCCCTCGGGCGCAGGAGGGTGTGTCCGGCTAGGACTGGTCGTCAATCATACGAGAAGCCAGACATCTTCGCCGAGACTCATCTTTTCTTAATTGCAGAGAACAGAGTAGTTCTCTGTGATTCGTTGAGAGCCTAGATACGCATCTTGTCCGAATCTCTTTTAGTACCTTCTGAAAGATGTTGAGAGAGGATAATCTCTGTCTGTTCTTGGATGTCTGTTGGGGGAGAATTTGATGTGTTGCGTGATGAGGCTAAGCCAGTCATGCGTGCGACAAGGCGGTTACTCTCGCGAACATCAAATATACAGAGTTGAACAACCTGCAAGAGGTATTTCGCTGTAGTATTACACTCTGATACGAGCCTTGTGTTCTGCTGCCTGAAAGATAAGTATACTTATTCTACACTAGTCTGATCAGGTTCCGCAGCACCATCTTCATTACCAACCAAATCGTAGCCCTGTTTCATGGTTGTGGAGGTGGACGGGGATGGATGCTCTCACCGGGGAGCGGGGGTAGAAATCGAAAGTGAAAAATTCTGACTCCTCCAAATAATATGGTGCCACTTAACTTTTAAACATGAGGAAATTTGAATCTCGCCGGCAGAACAAGTCTAGAAATCAACATTAGCGTAACCAGCATTCTAAAGGTTGGCTCAGTCCAGAAAGGGGTTCGGCATAGTTAGAGATCTGATCCCCTTCACTAGCCCTCATTCTATGCAGAGTGCTCATTTTCAGAGTGAAAAAAATCAGATTACAAACAAATAGGCATCTTAACATGCACGGAACCCAGCTACCATTATTTAGCTTTCCAACACCAGAGAAACCAAGGCTCATAAAATATGCTGCTGTACTGAGGGGATGAAAATCTGTGATATTCATTTGTCTCATCACAATATAAACAGCATATCCAAACTGGTAAAGAAAACATCAAAATATAAATCTATTTAACGAAACTTAACAGACATACAGACCAGAATATAACATTCATGTCCATATTTGCATGGTAGTAAACTCATAAATAACAAATATCAAGGAAATATGCAGCTTCAAAGAGTTGAGGAAGTCATAAAAGAAGCATGAAACAAGAGGTGTGTAACGATATAGAAATGGTCATTGAGGGGGAAAGAGTAAATGAGATTAAAGCCAAGATGCAAACGAAAAAAGATGGGGAAATAAAATATCGTAGTAGTATGAAGGTGTGGTCACGGGATGAAACACAAAACACAGAACGAAAGGCAATGAGTATGAGGAAATCAAGCTAAGAAAAGTGAACCTACGTGGGAAATTGGACATCACAGAGAGGTGAGAAAACAAAAAGACATGACAAAGGAGAAATGCCAAAAGACAGAAATACCTAAATCGAACCTTAAAAAAAAGTTGAAGGAAACAAAACCTGAAAATCCGTTGAATGATCGACCATTGCTGGATCACAAGTAAGTTTTATGAACAGATGTCGCCAGTATCACTGATTCTGACATTGACTTTGACCACTATTAGGTTGCATTGGATACCCTTCTGTCTGGTCTATGGCCCCGTCATTAGGTCCAGATATCTCTAGATACCGCATCCCAGCGGGGGCCTCGGCGTAGTGTAAACCTCCCGACTGGTCAATTGGGTCTTGCCCTTGCTGATGCACGTACCCGAGATTTTCTATAGGTGAGGCATACATTTGTTGGTGATTATCATAGGCAGTGCTGACGGAAACATTTGCCGAAATATCCAAGCCATAGGTCGCTGAAACAACAGGAGCCTGAGTTGTGTCCGGCAAAGATACGTCATCTCGGCGTGACACCGCGTTGTATGGAGGTGGGTATGTAGTAGAAGCAAAATGAGGGCTCAATTGGTAATGGCCATCAGTTGTAATTGGACAACCATGTGGTGACGGCGACCTTGTCTGTGAATTCTGTGAATAAGGAGAGAGACTGTAATTCGGTCCACCGTCCGGTGCTGACCTTCCGCCCATTTCTTTAGGGACAGCGGTATGGTCATTGTGGAGATGAAGATGGCCCGCCAACAGAGGAGATTGGGAGGCTCCATACAATTCTGAGTTTTGTGGCACTGAATTGTAGAAGGCTGAATGATCTATATTAGCGGCTGTAACTTGATCCGATTGGAAGGAATGAGAATAAGGCGTTCCGCCTGGGAGACGACTCGTTGGCGGGTGTGCAACGCCAGGTTGCCGTTGCGTTGTGTGGTTTCCAATATAGATGGGGCTAATAATAGTATCTGTAGATGCTGTCCGTTGCGTGACAAGTGCTAAGACTGGCATGGCAATTTGCTCCATATGCTTAGCCATGTGCACAGAAAGTTTTTTCCAGCTGTTGCAAACGTTACCACAAAACCGACATGCCTCGTCCTTGGGTTGCTTAGTTGTGATATGGTGACATTCTTCAACTAATTCCCACACATGCTCTAGCCCCTGCTCAGGAGCCAAAAATTTCTGGTTTTCACTCATCTTCGGCGGCCGTTTACCGTTTCCATTTCCACGGTCTCTAGAAAGTTTAACTTTAGGTTCTGGCATCTTGTGTTCTCGAACGAGATGTTGAACAAAATTGTCTTTCCTGTAGCAAGTGTGCGAGCAGTCCGGAATGCTACAAGTCCACCATTCTAACTGTCGATGTCGTTCACTCTCGTGCCTCACCCAGTCCGCCTTCCTCTTAAACGATTTCGGCTCAGTACATTTGGGAAACGTACATGTGAATGGCATAACATCTTCATGAACATGCTTCGTCCAGTCAGAAGGTTTCTGGAACGTTTTTACTTTGAAGCAAAGGGAGCATTCGAATTGTGCGGGAAGGCGTTTAACCGGCGGTAGTGGAACGGCAGGGGGGAAGAGTGCAGCAGTCACAGAGCTCTCACCGAAGCTGCTAAATTTGACATCAGGATCAGCAGAACCGAGCACTTGGAACTGCGTGCATGTGGAGTCTGGATCTTTGGAGCTGATTCTCGGAGGCAACAAGGTAGCATCACCACCCTGATCAAAGCAATGCTTGCCTGCACTGCACTTTTGCATGCGCACAGCTTGATTATGCTGTACCTTAAGCTCGACGAGCTTTTTGTATCGACGTACCTGCTCTTGCGCAATTCGTTCTACCAACACAGGAAGAAGCCGTGGGTTGAGCTGTTGAATCTGGGTCTTGAAGCCTTCGAGAGTCGGGACAATTGGATCCGCTCTGACAGTAAAATCCATAGCTACACCCTTATCTCCCATGGTTTCATCCTCATCATCCTCATCGTCATCCTCATTCAAGCACCTCCTTGATTTTGGACTATGTGTGATGTCTTGGAGGGGAGAAGCGAGAGTGGGAACAGGAGGGCCACCATAGGTCGTCATGAGTGCCACCAGTCCTCCGGATGCAGGTGACCTGGAACATTTCGGAAGATCGCTTTTGCTGCGACTGCGTCGCATAAAATTATTCCAAGGGGTCGACGAAGAATTAGGAGAAGATACCCCGACCGGTGAACGACCGCTAACAGCGGCTATCTGTCCTGTCATAGCCAGAACTGCATTTCCGGTTATTAAAGGAGACTTTGTCGATCGAGTGAAACTTGGCTTCCTCTGCGGTAGTAACGATGCGGAGATTCCCCCATCCCTTGAGTCTTTAATTTTTGCCTTATCGACAGATTCTGTACTAGGTTGCTGTTGGACGGATTCGGCTAACTTGCGTTTCGCGCTGCTATTGCTCCTCTTAGGGAGAAGTTTGCTGGCATGGTCAAGAATGCTGCCCCGTCTAGTGTGTTTTTTCTCCTGGTCAGAAGAAAACGAATTAAAAGAGCCCCTAGGTAAACTACTGGCGTCTGATTCACTGAGTCTTCGAGTCCCCCATGTCGCAGTTCGGGATGCAGTTTCGATATTCTGGGCGGCACTTAAAAATCGCATCACAGCGGCATTCGAGCTTGGTGGCTGATGATTTGTATTGCCAAAGCGAGAGTTATTGGGTGGGTCCTGCCAAGGCCGAGCTCTAATGAATTGACGAGGAAGAGGTTCCCTATGTTGAACTTCTATGTCTTTGACTGGTGGGAAGGGCTCTGTATTGTCTAGTTCGACTGGGGCAATCATACCCACAATTGCCGGGGGAGATTCTGGAACGCTGACTGAAGAGTCTGCATCGCTGTCGTCATCTGTATCTTCCAAGCCGGTCTTCTCGTCAACTAAGACACCAGGTCCCGGGATATTAGAATCATCAAATAAATGCCAATCAGTGCCAGACGGATCTCCAGTGCTTCTAGCTCTACGGCGAAGTGTTATCAACTTGTGTCTCCGACGAGACCGGCGTCCAGGATTACTGTTATCCTCGACTTCGCTATTAGCTTCGCTGACGGACAACCACAGTTCTACATCTGCATTCTTTTGATCTCGTCTGCGTTGCTCTTCCATTTCCTTGATCGTTGGGACGTACGCGTCTCCCCGTGAGGCGGGTTGGAGCCCGCTTTGGCCCGTAGAACGGTTTGCAATCCAAGACCCATCATCTGCACGTAATGAGGAAGCGGGAACTGAAATAGACTTATAGTGCAAACTAAAGTAGTGATCGTCGGATTCATCCTCGTGCTCGTGTGCATTGTCGGATGGTGCAAGATGAGACGACGACAAAGCTGTTCGACCTCTCTTGCCCGGCCTTTGGCTCATTGGCCCGTCGGGTCTAGAAGGAGAGTCGCCTCGGGTGTAGCTCGATACCTTAACTATTGGACTGGTAGTTCGATCGCCATGGAATACGCTATTAACTTCAAGTGTGTCACTGCACGGACTAGTGGTGAGCGTAGGCGTTTGTTGAAAGCGATGAGCTGGAATATCCAGTCTTGAAGGCCTGTACGCCATGTCTTTTGCGTCACCCATACCAGTATGATCTAGATTTTGGGCGGTAAACGGAGGGCTAGGCGTATTTGTAAGCACTGGACTCAGTAGTTGCGATGCTGAAGTTGTTGTTTCTAAGCTGTGCTCATTCCTTAACTTTACAGGGCCCGTATATCGAGGTGGATGACGCTGAAAACTGTCCGAAACTGACAGTGTAGACTGCTCGAATTCAAGATGGAGGCCAAATTCCGGCTCCAAGAAAAAGGGTTCGTCAACTTCTGGAGAGCCGTAGCAACTGAGATCGCTATGCCCGTTATCAGCGTAACCGGAGGGACTTAGGAAATCTTGATGGGATGCAGGGGAGTAAATGTTGTTTGCTGGATTTGTGTTCGGTTGCGGGTATATAGGATCGTCCGTCGAAGCACCCAGGGGAGGGCAGTTGATCGGAGATACGGATAGGGAGTGGGTATTGAAGTCCTTCCTTGATAAATGGTCGCTCGAACAGTGAATTTCTAACACAGAAAGGTTTACTGTAACTGAATCACCCCTTGAATTCAGACTCAATTCCTCCTCACCGTTTGAGGGATTCGAAACGAAATGGTCACCGTTGTTGGCTTGACCGTTGAAGGTAGAAAGATTTCGAGACAGATTTTCAATAGATGGCGGCGATGAGGTTGCTGCCGACATAATTTTTAGAAGAATAAAACTTTAGGGATGAGTGAGAAAACAGATTGCCGGATACCTGGACGATATGGAGGTAAAAGGGCGGAGAACGGCTACAACACGTCGCGCGATAAAGTAGGGAGTAGAAAAAATACACTGCCAAATTCTCGTATAGGGGCTGAGGCAGCACCCTGCTCCCAATGTTGCACAAGGCGACCCAGGGTTCTCCGATCTCTGAGGACTGTTGGGTTGGAGGAAAACAAGACGATAGTGGTCGCTTGCACCTGTTACATTCCAAAGAAAAGGAGTGGTGGGGGGAGGTTTGGAACTACAACCCGCAGACTGCTTGGGGTATTGTTTATGTTCCTGTGTAAACTGCCACTGGAAAATTTTGTTGTGGATGGGATTGTTCGGGGATATAAATGATGTTGTTTGTCGTGGTGAAATGCGGTCGTTGGAATCCCCGCCACTGCAATTAAGAACATATGGAGGGGAGCTCGTCGACTGTGGCTGCTAGGTGTAGGCACCTGGCGGCGGAGTGACGAAAGCAAAGAACTTTCGAACACTAGAAGCGAGCAGAAGGAATTAACTAATGGAGATTGTTTGTCGTCCAAGTATGTGCGAAAAGACTGCAAACAAGGGACGACGATGGAGTGCACTGAGGAGAGACTCGAGAGACATGATGGGCCCGACGGACTCAGGCTTCCGTGCCGAGACGGCCATGGCGCAGCATGCGGCTGATTTAGAAGAAAGCCCGTCGATTCACCTTGACGGTCAGCCTTCAGGATGCTGCTAGGCATGCTGGCTATCGTCAATGAAGTTAGTGCTTCCCGAGGAGCCAATACGTAGGTCGTGAAACCGCGGTTGGCTCCGACTCATAATGCCTCGTTGATCAAGTTAATCAACGGCTGTTTGACGTGCTTGATCCTCGATTGTAAACTTTATCGAGTGTTGTGCTTTTTCTCTCCGATACCTAGTTACCTAGTTAGTTACCTTGAAGACATTGTGGGGGGAATAAGGACTCTTCCCCAACTTCCTTTGAGGTTTGGATTGTATGGATTTTTTTTTGGGGGGGCCGTATGGCTTTATAATGATTTTTCTCATTTCTGAATTTTTTTAACCATCGTCTCCTTGTCACTCTTAGTCTCCTTGTATCTTCTTTCCCTTTCTCATCCTCTTTATATATCTTATGAACATAGAAAAATTGCACCTAATTATCAGTCAGTCAGCTGTGCCATTCAGTCTTCTCTGAGAGTATGGAGATACCTACCATTCTACCACGCATGCTGTCAGCCTTTCCGTTATCTCAAGTTTACCTTTGGGCCAAAAACCCACTTATCTTATTCCTTGCAGTACTTTATTGGAATCTAGTGATATTCTTTTACACATATTGATATTGTGCGGTCTCTAGTGATGGCTAGACGCCCGATGACAATGGATGGGAACTTGTTTATGGTTGAGGAGAACTGTTTCATTGCTACTTGAGCCTCTAGCTAAGTATGGCTCTGCTGCTGTACACTATGATCATAATGGGATGATCCGAATGGGTGGATAATTGACAAATAAATTGGATGCATTAAAAGAACGTGGGAAAGGGGGGGAAAACCTGAAATTTTGAGAAAGGTTTGATACCGACTCGATCGAAGAGAAAGAGGGAAGAATGGAGGTTCAAGAATGTAATAACTAAGTAGAAATAACTATACGAGAAAAATTAGAACGCGAAAGGAGCAAAACACAATACGAGGAAAATTCAGGTTTTGAATTTGAAGCAGCACCCTTAAATAAAAGGAAACAAGAGACGCTGGGATGAGGAAAATGGGGTAACATCAGCAAGAATTATAAGAAGTCCTTGACAAGCAGAGGGGAATGCCATGTATTGTCAAGTTCGTCAGAGTCGTGAAACAAATACACGGAAAGCAGAGGTGGTGGAAAGAAGGAGGGAGGCAAAAGAGGGAAATGCAAACGGGATAAAAAAACTCTCATCATACAACAATGCTTTCTCTCATGGTAACAAGTTCATACAGAAACGAAGTGGGGAGAACGCAGAAAGGAGGACCGGGATTAAGAGAAGAAAAGAAAAGAAAAACGAAAATCAAAAAGGTTAAGAAAAGTGAGAGGGAACTGGCAAGCAGAATGTGTCTAGAGGAGCAAGAAATGTTAAATCAAGGGAAACAATATCGAAAGAAAATTATAGTAGTAATGGTGTGGATTCAACAAAGTGTTTCGCTGAACGATGGTCCATCTGGTCGATATATGACCGGATGAATCAATTGGGTGGAGGAGCACAGACGAAAATTGATGCTTCCAAAAAATAAATAAATAAATGGAAATAAAAATAAGAAAATAAAAGTTGGTAATGACGGCCAATTATCCGAACCATCCATGGATATTATCTTCTTTCGACCTGCAGCAGCTTCTTGCGCAACAATTCCGCAGATCACTCAACAGCATCATCCGCCTCCGCGCTGGCTGGATCATTTGCAGCCTTGTCTAAAGGAAGATCAGAAGCAGCAGGGGGAACACCGCCATCATCATTCGCAGGGTCAACGGCAGGGGTACCAGATCTAGATCCCGACGGATCAGCCATTTTCTTGGAGAGTTCCATTTTCCGTGCAAGGACAGAAGGTGAGTCGGCATAAAGGACAACACCAGGAAGGTAAACGCATCGAGTGCCCGGTTCGCCGTCTTCGGTGAAGTCTTCGTGCGCAGGCTCGCGGTAAATTCGAGGAAACATACGAAGGAGAACTCGTCGCTTGCGGATCGTGGGAAAGGAGGCATCATTGTCAGTGTTTTCTTCTGGCGGTGATGGGGCGGTATCATAGTTAAATTCCTTCCAGCCTTGGTTCGTGGTTTGTTCGTCCTCTGCGGAAGGCATGGTTGAAATAATGAGTTCTCGTTCGACACGGGCGAGGCGCCATGTCTCAGCTGCAAGTTTAACGATTTTCCGCACTCCAACGAGCAGGGTGTCGAGGTTCTTGGGGTCTGCGAAGTGGCGGATGTGATCGATGATTTCGTCGACGATAACGGCAGCAACCACATTGATGGCTTGCTTGGCATCAGATGTTGTGTAGGCGGCTTTCAGAGTTTGTTTTCTCCAATAGGCCTCACGTCTCACGGACTTGCACCGGATATCCATTGATAGCATTTGGAAGAAGGTATCTGCTTTATCGTAGCGTCTGCCAAGTGTGAATAAGAACGGTTGGAAGATCCTGTAGTTGAGCGTCTTGGAAATCACATGCTGGATGTAGGCAGATCGGAGTTCTCGAGACGCTTGCGAGTTGTCTAGGAATTGAGGAATCTCGGAGGGGATCTTAGCGATGATATCTGATGGTGGGTCGATAGGGAGGTAGCCGAAGTGCTCCTTCGAGAGGTCGACAATGAGATGCAAGAGTTGGCCAAAGCATTGAATGCTAGAATACCAAAAAGAGACAATTAGAAGTTGTCTATAGGAAAGAGAAAGACTTTGAACAACAAATCAAACAACATTTTTGCAGTTACTTCTTTTACGGCAAATAGAAGCTGAGAGAAAAGAAAGAAAGAAAGAAAGAAAAAAAGAGGGTATCCAAATCAACAAAGGACAGAATATCGGAGCTCCAATATGCAAAGAGATCCAGAGCCATGGCCTGGATTCCAAAGGCTAACCCAGATGGGTACTTACAAAAAGCCGTCCCCTTTCATCTTCATATCAGTTGCCTCCCCGAGACTATGCAATGTTTTCTTCAATCTGTCTCTTTCTCTACCCATTATCTCCTGCGAGATCCGCATACCATCTATAGCACTCCGTAATTGATCCTCCCTAACTTGTCCCTCCCTGGCAAGAATTTCCTTTTCCTCCCCTGCTTGTCTCAAATCCTCCGCTCGTTGAGCCAGCTGGATTTCTAGGTCCTCTCGAGCCTTTTGCCAGGCCTCTTCCTTTTGTTGATACTCGCCTATTAAGTTGTCTATCTTCTCCGCGGCTTCCTGTGCAGCGGCATTACGCTCCTTCTCGTGGGCTTCGTTGAGGGCGGCGAGTTCGTCTACATGGCTTTTCTTCATTTCGCTGAGTTCGGCCTCTTTCGTATCCAGCTCTGCCTGCTTGGATTCAAGTTCAGTCTGCTTGCAGGTTAATTCGTTTTGGACCGACTCCAGCTCGGATTGCTTTGCTTGAAGCTCGGTGTTCTTCGCGTCCAACTCGCTCATTTTTCCTTTAAGCTCTGCAATTTTTGCCTCCAATTCAGATTTCTTAGAGTCAAGCGCACCCTGTGTAGTGTCAAGTTCTCCCTGTTTATCTTTTAGCTCTTCCTCCTTATCCTCCAACTTTCCCGCTTTCATTTCTAGTTCGTCCCGAGCTGTCACCAAATCACATTTAGTGGTATCCAGCTCGCCCTTAGTAGTCTCCAAATCGGTTTTCGTAGTTGCCAGCTCACCCTGTGTGGTCGTCAACTTGCCTTTTGTTGTTTTCAGCTCACCTTCCATAGTCTCCAATTCGCCTTTCTTCGTTTCTAACTGGCATTGAGTGGTCACCAAATTTTCCTTCATCGTTCCCAGCTCTCCCTGAATAGTCTCCAATTCCCCTTTCAAGGCAATCAGCTTCTCCTGTGTCGTATCTAACTCCGCTTGTTTGACCTCCAATTGGCTTTGCTTAGCATCAACATCTGCTTGCTTTGCGTCGATGTCAGCCTGCTTTGACTCCAACTTACCCTCGTACTTGGTGGCCAAGGCAGCCTTCGCCCTTTCCAGGGCCTGTTTCTCAGCTTCCCATTCAGCTTTGAGTGAGTCACGTTCATCCGTAAGTTCTTTCTCACGGGCTTTTAGCTGTTCGTCTGCGAGTCTGTCATCTTCGTTCTTGATCTCCTCAAAATAGCCTTCCAATTCTTGCTTCTGGATGGCCAAAGCTTCCTGCTCCTTTTCCTTTTGCTTCTCTAATTCTTGCTCGTGGGCTTCTTTCGCTTCCTGGATGGCGCGCTGGAGAGTATCAATTTCCACTTGGAGATCCTCTCGCATTTGAGAAAGTTCATTGTTTTCCTTTTGAGCCTCAGCCAGGCTGTTCTCAATATCGTTTTGTATTTCCTGGAGTCCGCCAAGCTCGAATCGGAGTTCGGTGATCCTTCCCTTTAATTTCGAGCATTCCTTTGCACTCTCGTTGGCAGTTTTCTGCATTTGCATCTGGAGAGCTTCAATATAGAACTCTTTCCGCATTAGGGATTCCTCATGCTGAGCCTCGATTTGTTTATGTTCTGCCTCACGTGCAGACATATGACTTTGTTGATCTCGATAGCTGACTACTAGTTGGCTAATATCTGGGATGATACTTTGGATTCTTGAGAGAAGACTAACATTGAGTCCCTCGCCACTTGAAGCAGATTTTCCGTTCTCAATCATCGGTGGCTGGACAAGTGCCGGTTCTTTGACAGATCCATAATGGTTGTAATAAGGATCCGCATATCCCCGGCCAAATGATGTCCGACTATTCTTTTTCGCGTGGCAGTATTGGTTATATGGCAAGTCCATAGTAGACGAGAGCATGGAGGTATGGTAATTTGGAGTGGTGACCGCCATACTCTTGGGATCGACAGGTGCTCCGTTGTGTGGTGGTATCATGGCATGGGTATATGGATGCACTACAGGGCTGCCAAATGAATAATGGTGTGAAACGATTGGAGCGGGTGAAGGGCAGCGGATGTATTGGCAAGATGCAGCTGGGCTGGACCTTGATTTCACTTCGGATAGAGAAGGAGAAGGAAGGGGAATTTCTGCTGCTGATAATGATGGGTGCTTGAGAGGCGCCGACGAATCTTTCACTGCTCTGCTCGTGTTATCGGGTGCATCGAATGGGTTGCTTGATATTATAGCAGTTGGAGTAGCGGGCCCAGCAGAAGATATAGCACTGGCGGGTGATGGAGCTGATTGCTCTCGGGGTTCTTCAGGTTCGCTTTCGTTGTCTTCGTCTTCAATGTCGTCCTTCTCGAGGATATCGTCAACACGGGTGTCAACGGGTGACTGCTTTTCAAGTTGTGTGGCAGTGAAAATATTTGGCCAGGAAATACTGGCAGGTTTGAAGCTCACAGGAGTCGCTGATGGACTTGATCCAGTAGAATCTGGCAAAGGTGGAAGACTTTCTATGACAGATTGGGTTGGTGGAGGATGCTGAGTCTCCTGAAGTCCTTGAGGTTCCTGGGTCTCTTGGATCTCTTGAGCTTCTCCGAACTCCTCTGGCTCTTGGGATTTCTGACGTGCTTGAGATTCGTCCGCCTCTTGATGTTCCTGGGATTCTAGAGGTTCCTGTGGTTTTTCGGGTACTTGAAGTTCATCAGATTCTTGAGGTTGCTCAGGATCATCAAGTTCTTCGAGTTCTTGGAAATCCTCAAGCTCTTCCTCCTCTTGAGGTCCCTCGGGTTCTTGAGGCTTTTCAGGACCTTGGGGTGCTTTAGGTTCCTGAGGTTCGAGAGTAGGTGACTGCGGTGGAGATGCCTGAGATTCTGGGGTAGATTCTTGTTTTTGTGCCTTATTTCCCTTCTTTCCGTTCTTTCCTTTGTTCTGTTTTTTGGCTTCCTTCTCCTTTGCCTTGCGGGATTTTGCACTTCCTCCACCTGAAGCCATCGTAGCGGCGAGAAAAGATATCAAATACTTCGATACGCCTGCTGTCACCTGACATGCAACAACGTGGTCCCAGTTAAAAAGGAATTAAAGATCCTTGTTCTGGATATAGAAGAAACAAATTTGGCGATGTTCACATATATGACTGGTAAACATTTGCAAGCATGGCATGCGGCAGTGAGGTAGATGATGGCACTTAAGTGAAGACACGAATTGTGGTCAAAGTCCTTTAGAGGGGACACGCACGAGTGGGGTGAGTTGAGTCTCAGGAAAGATATGTGAAAACCGTTCGAATTGGAATAGCTGGACACGCGTGTTTGCAAATGGATATAAACAATGGCAGAAAGGTGGTGTATATTGTGGAGCAATCAAAGAAGAAATAATGGAACAGAGTGAAAACCAAGGTCGGCGTGTTGGCAGCAAACTGGCGTCGGATGCATGAAAGAAAAGTATTTCTCGAAGAGAGACTGGGAAAGAGAAAATGTAACCAGAAATAATAAGCTGGTTTCTCAAGTCGTACGCATGATAATTGATTCAAAGTCGAAAAACACGTTGGATAATCAACGCTGAAGGGAAAACGCAGAAAACCGAATGGGGATGGCTGGCAAATCCTCCCATGTGAGGATTGCTGAAAATAAAATGAGGCCGAAATGGTTCTTCAGAACCAGGCCGGAAGGAGGCCAATGGAAGGTTGTCTGTGTGCATATTGGGCATCAAAATAAGTGTCTAATTTCATCTGTCCGCCCAGGTGTCCGCATTAGTCAGGTAGCAACAGGACCTGCGTGCGTTCTCCGAGCAGCGAACACATAAGCGGACTGGAGGCTGGGGTCCGGAGAATGGGGACAACTCGCCTGGTGGGTTGAATAATGGTTGGCAAGTGGGACTAATGACAATGGAAACGATCGCGACGGAGCAAATAGGCGCAAAGCGTCTGGCAATCGGCGCCCGCCCAAAAGCAAAACGCACCATTTAGGCATTATGGAGTATGCTGCAGCGGGTAAGAGGTGCGGTGGAGTGCCCAAGGCGAGGAAATAGTGAGTTGTGGTCCCTTCATCATGGGATGCATGGCAGCATGGGTGGAGAGGGCATCCGACGCTAAAAGGCTAGTCGAGGACACTAAGGACCGGAAGCCAGCAGTAATAGATCAAACCGCTGAGGAGTCGAAGAATGGCTGTTTGGAAATTCCTGACACAGAGAGGACTAGTTGAGAAAAGAGCAAAATGGACAAGATGAATATAATGACATAGATGGCGGGATAAGATATTATATAGCAAGGGATAGAAGAGAAAGGAAGCGCGAACAACGTGCTGATTGTATAAAAATTTTATAACGTCATTTTTTCCACAGAGATCAAGACCAAATCACATTCACGAAGGTAACAATCCCAAAATAAAAATATCAAAAATAGAAAATAAAAAAATAAAAAAAATACTCTTCTGAGAATTTCCCAAACATCTGGATGGGACTATACAATTTACTAAGTTTATAACCTGATATCCAAAATGATCCAGCAAACCGTGTGCTTGACAAGCCCTAGAAGTTTTATCAGTATGGCAAGTCTCCTTATTCATCATTGACGCTCGGAGGAAGAAAAGGTCTCGCATGAGACATAAATCAATAACTTGCACCAGAAATAAAGGCTTATATTTCCGAGAGCTGGAGGACGACCCTCTCACAACTACCCATTTCCAACCTCTTTTCGGCAGTTAGGCTCCCGTTGGGGTTACATCTCTTCCTGCTTATCGCAATGCGCAATAGGGCCTTCGTTATAAAGCTCCTCCTGTTGGATCATACAACACACCACTTCAGACTTCTTGAATGTGTGTTTCACAGGCTACATCGCTTTGGCAAGGGTATACCCAGCCTATCTTGTTCTTGTGGGCATATTGGCAAATGTAGAAGCATGGCCTGAAAATGGAAGGATATTTCTACTGCACGATTCAGGTAGAAATCCAAGGCGTTGTCTCTGTTATGGGCGTGGGAAGGGATGTTGATTCATCCAGGGCAGCAAGAAAGACCTTTGCGTTGTAAACAGGCCTGGCTTAGTTTTATCTCGAAACCACCTCAAAGTATCTTAACAGGGACCTCGCCGTGGTGGATAGGAGAAGAGATAGCAGATCGCACTATGAGACCATTTATGTTCTGTTAAAAATGGCACTTCAAGGGCAAGTGGCCAATACACTCTGCGGCGCCAAATAGAAATATGCCCAAGATTGAAGCCCGAACATGAGAATAAATGTAGTTTGATCGGAAATAGTTGTGCACACCTTGAGAATCAGAATAGAGGGGTTAATCGCCTTGACTGGTTCATTGCTTTCCTCTGAAAAACGCTAAACTGCTGTCGTGAGAATTTCCCAGCCAGTAAGACATCTGCCGGTAATTTTATCGCTTGTTGAAAATTGTTGAGGATCTAGCTGCCGGAACTCAAGCGACGTATATTATGGGAATGCCGTGCGATACTCGCCCATGGCAATATGTCGCATGTATTAGTACGATACCGCGCAAGTTTCTTCAACTTTCCAAAAAAAAAAAAAATTCACTTGTATATCAGAGCTAGAGTCATAGAGGTTTTAGACGCCGGGAGGAGCTCTCCCGAGAGGTGGTCTGCAGCAATTCTTCCAACCAAGTGAAAATATGGTTTGTTAGCCCATCAAGCGTGGATGTAATCAAGTCCTTTGGCCAACGGTGCTTGGAGAGAAGCGTAAGGTTCTTCCCGTGATAGCGTGCGTGGCTGAATCGACAGCAAACGCCTCATGCCTTATATCTTGTGTCTGCAAAAGCACTGATCTTCAGGTGGAGTAACCTGAAATCCACGTGGTCTGGATATCCCAGCAATTCTCCTACTTGCCCGTAGAGCTTGCAAGTACCGTCGAGTTAACTACCTACCTGGATAGAGCCGTAGCTGTGATACGAAATTCCTGATGCCAAATTAAGTCGGCCTGGAACCTGGGCCGGGATCTCTCAGAACATGCCCGCTGACTTCAGAGCAGCGGCCAGCTGGGATACTGGTTACTGTGGAAACAGGGTCCCCAGTTAAAAAAAGGAACCCGAGATGCACTAGCTGAGTGAAACGAAGAGTGCCCGGTGTTCAATTTGTTGCCGAGTGATTGGCCAATAACTACTACAAGTTCCCTGTCTAACCCCAATCGGGCGATGCCTTCACGTGCCCTTTGCCTCACCTTTACGGACAAACGATGCAACCAACTGACATTCAACAGTTCTATCTCGACGAATTGCGGTTTGCGGAAGCCCAATTGTCGGCCCCCTCACACAATGTTTATTTCTCGAAGAGCCGCTGCTCCGATCCGGGGCCTTCTCCGTCACCAACAACCTCGCCGCCTTGGCTCCTCCGCAGCTCATGGCGAGCAGCACGCTGCGGAACCAGTCAACGAGAACTTCGGCGTAAGCACTTCTCCCTTATACTTTGAATTTCGTCTTAGTGTATTGTTTCGTGTTTCGGATAGGCATATACACCACTCAGACAGACAAAAAATCGGTCAAGCCATGGCGTCCGGGCTCCAATTGAACCTGCTCTTGAATGACATGGAGCTCCATGCTGCCCCGCCTTCAAAGCAAATCGTTATGCATGCTGATCCACACGCTAATACACTTCACTTCTTCTGCAGCGCGGTTTCTACATGTTCATTGCATCCGTCCCCATAGGCCTGGCCTTGTACAAATATGCCACGTCAGATCCTCACAGCAAGCCATGGATGACTCGTCTGATTGAAAAATGGTTCCCCGAAGAGAGTCTCTGGGAAAGCAAGAATGCTCTTCATACAGCTGCGATCGAGCAGGCCGCATTTGATAGACATCTGTTCCAGAGCCAGAGTGGCTCCCTAAACCTCGAACTGAGTTTTCAAGAGTATATCATTCCCCAACCTTGTTAGACCATGAAACTGGCTCCCCCGCCTTCTTGTTCAGCTTCAAAGCAGGAAAAAAAAAATTGAAATAACAATTCTTTTGTTAAATAGGGTTTTCAACACCGGATCACCCATGAATGTTCCTGCTGGTAACGGTTCCGCGGACCTAACGGCGGTTGTTGCGCATTACAACGCGAAGAATAAAAAGACTGAGCAGGACCGTGTTGCACGGATGAAGGATGGGAAGGTAGTTTCGATCTATGACGATAATTGACACTTTTAATTCAGTAGATATATGATAAGAAGGAACAACAAAAACAAAAAGGGGCTGGTGTTGTCAATTTTTTTAATTTTTCCCCTTTTTTCTCCCCAAATTTGCCGATCAACTGCTCTGCCTACTTCATTTGTGTCATTAGAGTTCAAATTCCCTTTTTTGTACCTATGTGTATCTATGTATCTGTTTAATGCCACCGCTGACACCAACTTGAGATGTCTATGTGTCGATATCACGTATCGAATCAAGGCAGCGCGGTGGTACTAGCTTCCTTGTCCTCGTTACCCTTCTAGTGCACAATCTGGCGGAAACCCAGCATATATTCTCCTGAAATCCTCTCCCATTGATAGGATTAGGATTCAAGGTTAAAAGACTTCTTATGCAATTAACTCATGAGCATGGATTTGGAATTTCTTGTTACCCTGTCTGAATCGTAGTATAACCAGGCCAAGAAGGAAGAATATGCTCCTGGGGCAGCCAGCGCAAGAGAGGGCTTAAATACCAAATATATATATATATATATACGGATATCATTATGATATTGTTCCCTTCACTTTTAAGCGCCCGATTCTATAGCCATTTATTCATGCCCTAAGATAAAAGAAAAAAGAAACTAGGACTTTATAATACAGCCTTTCATGAATAACATCGCCACATTTACCCAATCACCAATTCCATCAATCCCGCCCAATGCCCGCTATATGGGCTATTGGCATTCTTGAACCAAGACATCTCGCTCAAACCCCAACCTCCAACACCACCCTTACAACCCCCTTATCCTTAACCTCAACCCTCTCTTTCACAAAGAATCCATCACCATCACTCTTAGCCCCCTGCCGGCGCGTAACATCCCTCATCACATCCAAAAACTCTTCAATCCCACCCCCGACGCCAAAATATACTTTCTTCGCAGCGATTAGCGCCTTAAATTTAGATCCTGACGGAGAATCAATACCAGTTGGAGCCGCCTCAGATGCGGAGGCAGAACCGGATGCCCCTCGATGGAGGAGGGTAAGTAGAGTTTCCGAGAATGGGTGGAGGGAGGAGGGAGAGTAGATTGTTTCGCTGGCCAGAATTAGGAGCTTCGATTTCTTTGGGGATGGCGCTGATGCCTCTGGTGCTTGGGGGTGTGTTGAGAAAGCTAGTTCTACAAAAGCAGGTGACCAAGCGCCTGAGATGAACGATAGAGATATACCACGAGCACGGAGATCATCCTGGAAAGCGGAGATGAGGGCAGGGTCGATATCCAGGTCTAGATCAGGTTGTTCGTCATTGTCTGCAACTTTATTTTGCTTTCCATTATGATTTAAGCTATAATAGATATCGTTTCGGTTTTCAGGGTTAGGGTGGACATTTTCCACGGGGTTTTTGGGTTGGTGCAAGCGGCTGCGGCAAGTATGCCATGTGAGGAGTATATTTGGAACAGTAACCAGTCGTAGCACGGCAGCATTGTAGTCCGCAAAGACAAAACGGATAGTCCTGTGAGGCGGACTCAGTGGGGGATGCTGTGAAAGGATGTGATGTAAAATGGAAAGGGACGGTATGGCAGTTCCAGCTCCAAGCTATCGTTTCCGCCATCAGTATGAACCGCATGCTTAGTTTAGATATCTCTATTGCAAAACCCAGCAGAACTTATTTGGTTGGATTCAAGTATCTCACCTCTATTATATGGATATCCTCAGCATCCTCTTCCGCTGTTTCTGATAGGAGAGAATCCATCTCCTCGACAGCAAGCAACTTAGCCAGATCAATAGCGCACTCCCACGTCTTCAAGCCGCCCTCGTATACAGTTGGTTTGATATCACCTTTTTCCAGTCCAGATATTAACTTTGCATTTTCGTTGGAAGCTGCATCATCTTCTGCCATCAGTTGGGCGCGAATGTCGAAGACTTCCCGTCGTGGGATTATAAGGCCTGGACATCCTATAGAAGATGATTGGGAAATTATCGGCAGCATACTGTATGATATTTGAGAGGGAAGTGTGGCAAGCTGTATTATCCATTAGCAATATGCCCCTCTAATGTAAATATTAAATACATACAAAATATCAGGTAGATTCTAGGGAGGTGAACGAATTCTCAATCACAAATCTGACATCCGGCATTGAAAAAGACTTTTGGCCAAACATTGCAAGAAGGGGAAGGCAGGTGTAGCATTACCCAAACGCGAAGCCCCCATTTTGGGAGGTCAAAATAACCAGATAGAGAAAATCAAAATCTAAAAGAATTCGATTGGGAAACTCCAAAATTCCACGATCAACCTCCATGAGAAGAGACTAACAACATCAAGCTACGCGTAAGAGGCGCTCACCAGGTCGATATCCGTGCAGTCCGGATTGAAACGGCACAAGACATTGCCACATCGGTGCCATTTCTATCGATAGGCCAGAAAAAGGATAAATCAAAAAATAAAAATAGCAAACATGAATCAATACCCCACTCAAATGCATCTCTAATGATAACTCAAAGGGAAAGCTTTTGGTAGATTTTTTTTTTAACAAAAAGATATTCTGATACGAGAATATAAGAAGAAAGGCAAGAAAAGAAAAATCGAATCTTCAGAGAAAGAAGATATGGTTATGACAAAAATTAACGAAAGAAAAACAAAAGCGACATACCATCTCATCAAGCTGACAGTGGATTGCTTTACTCAGAACTCCCACATGTTCTTGCTTTTGCCCTTGCGCATTGCCATGGGTAGGGTCATCTGTCATGCCTAGCTCGCGGATACCAGCACTTACACTAGCATCAGGCTCGTCTACCTCGAGATCGGGATCTTCAATATCCTCCCCTGCGAAGCCAAATGTAAAAGTGGACATCGGATGAGGGGATTCGCTCACGTATCCTTATTTTGCTTCGAATTTATTCTTCCTTCTCTAACTCTGAATCCTCATGCATGGATATACAGCAGGTGAGGAAGAAACGAAAGACGGTGACGGGAAACACCTTGGCTGCTACGCAAAAGGTGGATTCGAAAACCAAAGAGAAAGAAAAACTCGAGAAAACATAGAAACTCTTTAAATCAGAGAAATCATCAGACTGGTATTTGAAGCCCTGACCTTGAGAGAATACAGCAAGGTTCGTTCTTATAATCGTGAGAGAGTCTTTCATCAAACATCTAACACACCCGGTCAGCAATTTGGGTTCCACGGGGCACGCACCCGAGTTTAAAACCACGGGAGCGGAAACCACGTGTTTTCCGAGGGGCGGTCCTAAAGTCTTCCGTTTCCGATCCGCTAACAAATTTGACAGCGGAGAAACAACTCTGCTCCCCAACCTTGTCTCTATGTGCAAATTTTGCGGGGCAAAAATATGTGGTGCCAACCGTAAGTTTCCCAACATAAGCTACGTACGCGGAAGTCCAGTATTCCAAGCATCTATGCTCCCTTCCCCGTGCGAAGTCCGACTTGGGACAGTGTTCAGTCATATCTACTGTTGCCACCTTTCAGTAGCACTGACAGAAAGTTGCTGCTCTATTGAATTGGACATGACAGTCCGAGAAAACGAATATATCCTCAATTGCTATTCTTCTACCGAAAAGCGCTCATGAAATTCAGAGAAAAGAGGATTGTTAAATATTCCTCTTTTTTCTTTTATATTTTCTCTTTTTCTTTTCTTTTCTTTTCTTTTATTTTTTTAATCTATATTTTGAATTAGAATCTTTCGATAAGTTGTGGAAGGAAACCGGAAGTGTAAAGAACAAAGGAAGGAGAATGATGTTCTCAAGAACAGAATACAACAACTAGCCGAAACCTGTGCTGGACACTCGATACACGGAAGTTTACATCGATCCTCGAATGTTGATGATGATGATGATGACGATGATGATGAAAGAGAGTCGAATGCGTCGCCAGCCCTTCAAATCGCAACATTGCGACGGCTAGAACCCTGACCAACCATTACGTGGTATTTACGCGTGTTTTAAGCGGTCGCAAACAAAGGCTAGATTATTGTTGGCAACCAGCTAAGTGCTCGTCAACAGCATCATGGAGCTTGATCTTCTGCTTGTTAACAGCAGGCATGGTGATTTCAAGAAGGAATTAAGGTGAATTTAGGGATTGAAAGATTGAGAGAGATTTGATGGATTGAAGAGGAAGAATCAGTTTGATTGATAAGTGAAATGAGTTCAAGGAAAAGCAGTAGAGAGGAAAAAAAGAAGAATCCGGTTTGATGTGTTATTATTTAACTTGAAAGCGATTGCAGAAGATTTGGCATAAGCTAGATACCGGGTTGAAATAAATATGGAGTAGATAGAGAGGCATAAAGCATAAATAAATGAATATAGAACAGGCTGCTGAACGAATTGTGCGATAAAATTGCTTTATACTAATTATATAATGAGGTGGTTGTAATAACCTATTCGAATGGACGTTGGTAGTGATAATAGCAGAGTTAACCACACCAACACTTCTCTCTAGGCCCAGGTGCTTCAAGCGTATTTAACGAAAATGTTTTATATCTTTTTGCAAGAGCAAGGCCGAGGCTTTCCCCCGAAAATGGGTGCCGATTGGCCAGAACAGGGATGGAGAACTTGGGTGGGGAGAGAATTTGTTGATATGAAATCCAGCGGATGAAATGAAAGACAAGAGGATGCTGAGTAGAGGATTAAATACCCAGCGAATCAGCTTTTCACTGAGATGTTAAGTTACTGAATTCAAGATGCAGATGTGAATCCGAGAGCGAGACAATCGACGTGGACCTTTCCCCGGATCATTTCACTTAATCCGTGGAGGCTGTCGAGAGAAAAATGGTGATTGTTATGAAGTGTTAGGGACTACTTTGCGAATTGAATCAAACGAGGATATTAATTCTCGATCAACAAACCCCGTATCGATGGATTAGAAACGAATTGTATTTATTATTCGCAGAAGAACCGTTGAATGGACATGGATTAACCGCACTTCATATATACATCTATATTTTGTTGAAGCATGGAGCAAAAGAAGGTAAAACTTTCTGGTGAAAATGACCAGTAAAGAATGGAGGAGGTTGAAACCTTTTTATCGAACTTTATATAGGACATGCAAATGGTCGAGATATATTTCGCTGTGAAATGGAATGGCAAGCAAAATACCGAAGACCAACAGTCCAGTGAGATGTTTCCAAATATAAATAAGATATCGGGCCGCCAGATAAGGGTGTATATTCATACCTGCCACATCCAAAGAGAATTAGTCTAGTAATATATTGGGGGAAATAGGAGACAACAGGGCATCTCCTTGTAGCTCTGCTGCGAGCCAAGAACAGCATCAAGACACAATAGAGAAAATTAAATAAAGGAAATTGATGAGCGTGGGACTGTCGGTGAAGTTCAGTGGAATCCTCGGAAATAAAAATAGCAAGCCAAAAAGAAGAAGAAGAAGAAGAAGAAGAAGAAGAAGAAGAAGAAGAAGAAGAAGAAGAGGCTCACACCCCCCCCCCTCGCTGAATCGTTATTTAATCTGTGCAGCAGCAACCGCCTTCTCCAACGCCTGCATAACATCCTCCAACAAATCTGCACTATCCTCAATCCCACAACTAACCCTCACCAAATCGTCAAACACCCCGGCCGCATCCCTCTGCTCCCTCGGGATGCCTGCATGTGTCATGCTCCCCGGCACCTCAACCAGCGACTCAACACCCCCCAAGCTCTCCGCAAGCACAAACACCTTCGTCTCCTGGCAGAAGCGTTCAGCCGCCGTCACACCACCCTTGATGCGAAAGCTGAGCATGCCACCGCCCATGCCGTCGCGGTGCTGCTTGAGGGCGATTTCGCGGTGCGGGTGCGACTTAATGCCCGGGTAGTTGACGGCGATGACGTGCGGGGAGGCTTCGAGGGCTGTGGCGATTGCTTTGGCGTTCTTGGAGGCTTCGCGGGCACGCAGGTGGAGAGTTTTCAGACCCCGGTGGGCGAGCCAGCAGTCGAAGGCGGAAGGGACGGCGCCTATGGCGTTTTGGAGGAAGGAAAGGCGCTCGTGAAGTGAGGGGGAGTTGAAGGCGGCAACACCCATGAGGACGTCCTGTCGAGTCTGTTAGAAAGTTTATATATATATATATATATATATGAAGAAGGGAATTGAGCATTTAGGGCTAAGTGCTCACGGAGTGTCCGTTGATGTATTTGGTGACAGAATGCATGACGATGTCCGCACCGAGGTCGAGGGGGTTTTGGATGTATGGGCTTAGGAATGTATTGTCGACGACGACCTTGATGCCGTGCTGGTGAGCTACGGTGGCTACTTTTCTGATATCAACAAGACTAAGGGTTGGGTTCGATGGGGTCTCGATCCAGATCAATTTGGTGTCGTTGGGCCGGATCAGATCTGCAACGTCGATTTCAATGCTAGGGGAAAATGTGACTTGCACGCCGTGGGCAGAGGCGACCTTGGTGAAGTATCGATGGGTTCCGCCATATACATCGGAGACTGATATGACATGAGATCCGGCAGCAAGGGACTGGAGAATGACAGCTGTGGTTGCAGAGCCGGAAGAGAAGGCCAGGGAATATCGGGCGTGTTCGAGGGCCGCTACAGCTTGCTCAAAGTTGTCTCTGTATTATCAAATTGAGTCCAATTGTCAGTGCCAGCCCGTCCGTGAACAAAGAGGATAAAATTGGGGGTTAAATTGGCCGGTCTACGGACCTGTTTGGGTTTGCGCTTCTTATATATTCGTACTGCCCTAAGGGTTTTCCAACACCGACTTGGGCAAAGGTTGTAGAAAGGGAGATCTAGACGGAAGACGTTAATTTCTCATCCCGTAACACCGGGGGCATGTTTGCAGAAGGTGCATCTCTCTTACCGGCGAAATTACAGCACCAGTTGTGGGATCTATGTGCGCACCCGCATGCACTGCTAATGTGCCGAATTGGTGGATGGGGGAGGGAGCTCGGAGGGGTGTCTCAATGGGTCCGCCATCCCGCTCGGAAAGGGACTCTGAGGTGATACCGGCTGTCATAGTTGTGTGCCTTGTGACTGTTTCTGTAAATCGTCACGCTGTTCGACGACAGTATTCGACCGTAGGAGGATAGGGAAGAATTTGCGGGTTGAAGTTGGGGTTTTGTCGTTTCGCGTTTGAGAATTTGGGGGAGACGGAGAGGAAAAAGAGAGGTTTGCAGAGAGTAACTCTGGCCGGACGACGGGATACCAAAAACAAATAGGCGGGGGCAGTAGGATGGAATTCTCTGGTGGAATTGGGAGGAATGAAAGGAATATTTTCCAAATATATGTGAACTGAAGCGTATCCTGAAGGGGATTGTTCTCTACGTTTATAAATGCCTATCGTGTGTTGCGCTCAGTTCTCTCTGATGACGCTGCGACAAAACGGAACAAGAGAAAATATACTCCGTATTTTCTGGGTGATTGGATTCCAGATTCATAAAACAACAAATGCACGCCATCATTCGCCAGCATTGTCGATTCAAATCTTGGAACTCTCGGCTATTTTTGGGTAATTATGATCTCAACCATGAGAGGAGGATTTTTGATGTCATGGGGAATCTTCAAATGCCGAACAGAAAACAGCAACGTACATACAAGGATCGAAATAGGTAGTTAAACCCATTTTTTTGCACCAAAATATCCAGCAACTCCTAGGAGCAAAGAAGAGCAAACACGCAGCAAAATACAAACCACACCCGCCACCCAGACACCAGACAGCGTTCCCCTGGTGCCATAATACACATTACTAGATATGCATCTTCCCCTGCTGGACACTGGTTCGGGACTTTGAAGCCAACCTCTCTGCTCAATGCCAGTGAGCCCTGCACCAATAGCTTGTTGCAACGGCGGCAGACTCCAATCAGAGAGAGCATCGCAACTCCGATGGTGACTACTGACTACGGCTGCTGACTGAGGTTCTTAACAACGGTGGTGCGGCTATTAATAATACTTCCACAACTAGGTTACTGAGGTGGCGACGTCATGCTCACTTATGAGATCGGGATGTTTGTCCAGAAGAATCCATTCATCGCTGCAATGGTTTGGCGATATCGAGATCATGTTATGCAGATATGCTCTTCTGGGTGATCCTCTCGATGCAAGGGTATGTACATGTAGGCCAAATTTTCGAGATGCGTTCTTGCGTGCTGACTGATGCTGCCAACAAAACGAATACTCTACAGAATAAACCCCCAACATGCTACAGAGGGACGAACCTGATGAAGGTCAAAACATAATTGATCGTTCATAATTGACAATATCTGCCGCGGAACCAGTTAGCTATGCCTCTACCTACTTTGCAGAATAATTACTTTTAATCAGTGGGTCTCCAGGGTTCTGTATTTAGATATTAGACATCCGAAAAACCCATGCACTTGCGGAGTTGCCCAAGGACCACTGCACCCCCATATGCTTAGAAATAGATCAAAAGAAGGAACAAAAAGGGACTAGTCAGAAAATATATAATTACAAGGGCATCAGCATTCCCTTGAATGATTTCATTACTCCAATCCACCAACATTCTCCCATAAAACTCCGCAAATAACCCTCCCTTTTCGCCTTCTATACCACACCTACACACTTTACACAATTGCTCTCATCAACATCCTCGTCTTGGGCGCTGGTGAACTCGGCACCGCCGTCCTTACCTCACTTCTCCAACACCCTTCCCGCGCCCATAACAAAGCCTCCATTTCCCTCCTCCTCCTCCTCCTCCTCCGTCCATCCAGCATCTCATCCCCATAACCAGACCTCTCCGCTCTCCTCCAACAGTGGTGTTGAAGGGGAGTTCACGAGTTTCTTGTTTGATGCTGGGTTCGGAGTTGTGAGTTTGGGGGCGGGGAAAGAAAGAATGCAAAAGTTCGGGCGTTGGGTAGCTGGGAGAATCGAATCACTCACGGCGCCGGAGGATATTGGGAAATTGACGGCGGAGAATGCGTTTGGGGATGATGGTGTGGTTGGTGGCAATGCGCCCGTTTTTATCGGTGGGATACCGTTAGTTATGCGTTTGTGGCAGAGTTGGTGGAGAAGATTACTAGGAAGAAGTGGAGAGATCGGCTTTAACGACTCAAGAAGCGTTGAAAGCGCTGGAGAAGGACCAGGGTAATGCTCTGTTGAAATATTACGCGATTTTTGGGGAGGGGAAAGGAGTTGCGTGGGATTTGGAGAGGACGAAATATTTTCGGAAGGGGATTCATGCGTTGATGGCAGAGGAGTGGGCGAGGGCGAACCTGGTGGTTTAAGGATATTTCACATTCCAAATAAATATATCATTGAGAGAATTGCGTTGCATAAACGTATGGCTCGTAGGTAATACAGGTAGAGACTTAACCATACAGGAAATTTTCTAGGTGAACAAACATTTCAATAATATAGGTGGAAAAAAAGAAAACCACTATCACCTGCAGATGGGATGGGAATATTTTGGGTATCTTTTAGTCGAGTTCTTGTCTTAACTTCATCTTCAGAGAACAACATTAGGACCACCAAGAAACAAGCCCAAGACCCGCAATTTGCATAGATCCCTATTTGGTTTGTATGGGTTAGCCAGAACAGTGTCCAAGAAATCATACAGACATTGGCAGAAATTGGAAGAAAAAGTAAACGAGGGCGTAAAGCAAGAGAAACATACAATAATTGAATAAGGCGGTTTCTTCTCCACCACAGACTCCCCTTGCTGAGCATCAGGGCCATCAGGGACCAGATCGTGCCACTCCTCCGCCTCGACTCGAAAACGCACCGTCTCACCTATGTCAAAGTAAAAAACAGCGCCTTCTCCGTTATCCCAGATCCAAACTTGATCGGTGAAGTCGCTGTAAAAATGAGAGAAAGAATATGAGTTAAAAATAAAATCCTAACTTGTGAGATGGTTTGGGTATTGAACAGTTAAGAAGAAGAGAAAAAACATACAATCTAGCACCGTCTAGCAAGAGACTGGGAGGGATGAAAATGTCATTGAAAAATTCAACGCTGACTGTTTTGATGATGGTCCTTCCGTCAATAGAGAAAAATTTCAATGATTTTATTTAAGGAGAAACTCAGAACGCACTTCTGATGCCATTCTCAGTACCACTGGTGATCTTGCCCAGGATAATCTCGCCCTTGAAGGGACGAAAGACAATTAATCGAAATTTAACTGGTTCAAATATCAGTCCAAATAAGTTGAATGTACAACACATTGGTTCGATTTGCACGCTGTATATTCATGCATACCATTAACATTGACCAGGCCAGTGCCATGACCAATTAAGCCATCAGATGCCTCGAGCAAGTCGTAAAATCCAATGCATAGGCCGACGTTTTGGACGACCTGGGGAGCGGATTAGCATATGGAATCTCTCAACGAAGAATGGATGGAATGACACTTAATACCTTGTTTGCATACTTCTCGTTGATATTATCCTCAATCGCAACTGCACTCAGTTTTGAAAAGTCTTCGGGAGAAATTTGGACTAGGTCGGAAATAGTTGTCTAAAAACAACATCTAGTATTAGTAGTCCACAAATAGAAATATGACAAATAATATCTATCCGTTGTATCAAATCTCGAACGTACGAGAATAAACATGGTGCTATCGGCACGGAAATATCACCGGATAACGAAAGTTGGGAAATCTATCAAGTGCTCAATCCTCTTCATTTCCACAGCCTTTTTTTCTTTGCAGCAGGAGAGAGGTTTCAGCGGTACAAACGCATGAACGACAATGATCGAAAGGCAACCCAAATCATAAATCCATGATCTGTCAGACAGAAAAGATGAAAATTGATAGAAAACACACACATACAAAAAAAAAAAAAAAAGAAAGAAAAGAAAAGAAAAAAAGAAAGAAAGAGAGAATATCAGCTCATCTTCATCCTCGTCTTGCTTAATTTCGAAGCTCCCGATTTAGTTAGCTAGATAGTTTTCACGTGGACCGCTAACTGACTAACTATCGGTTTACCTAATTAATCCTACGCTGTCGCCGGAGCGGATCAACGTATTGCCCTTGAAACATTTGAGAACTGTTTTAATTAACATCAAATGAGTGAGATGACGACAGATAATAACGACCACATCTTCACCAGCCGTAATGGGCCTTTGAAAGATGGAGACCTTTCTGCCGCATTTCTGTGCTTAGTTCACTATTACCAATCCGTCTTATACTATGAGTTCTAGTGGTTTTTCATTTCCCCCTCCCCCTCCGCCGCCTCCCCAAACTGGTACACCTGGATTCCCAGCGCCAACACCATACGGCCAGAACCAGAGAGGTCGGGGTACAGGGGGCTATCAGCGAGGCCGCGGGAGGGGCAGTGCGCATAGGAGTGGCAGAGGCAGCCATTCGGGGGGGCCTAGCCATGGCCCTCCTCATAGTATGAATTTCACTACTGGCGGCGGTAGCGGATATGGTGCTCACCCTCACCCTCACGCTTCGAATAACCCTTCTCCTCATTTTAGCCCCCAAGCGCCTCTGCATTACCCTCCTCCGCAAGGTCAACCAAATTACTCTGCTGTTGCTGCTTACACTCATGCCCCTCCTTCACACCTACCGTCTCCGCACAATGCATATCACCAACCGTTGCCTGCTCCTTACCCGGCCCGTCGTCCTACGACGCATCCCCCTGGATATACCCAACCTCCCCCGGTTCCACGGCATGGCCCGTCACCTAATCACCATCCACGATCTCTTATAATAAGCCCTCCCATGCGCTGGGGTTTTGAAAGTGCCAACCAAACCCCGTTCTACCCTCCTCCAGACCCAAGAACCCCAAACTACTCTTATCCCGATATGCGTGACTCAAAATCCCACTACTCACCACGCCAGTCCCATGAGTGCCATGGGCCCCGGCAATCCCAGGAATATAATTTATTTCCCTCAACAAACCGGTTTAGCCGTGGTGACAAATTTGTGAATCGGGGCAGTAAGCGCCCGCACTCCAGTGCATTTGGCACATCGCAAGCGCTTAACTCAAAACCACCCGCTCCACTCCAGGTCCCAAGCTTTGGAAATCCGCTTCCGTCAAAACCTCCACCCTCAGTGGACGCTACCAAGAAACATAAAAAGAAGAAAAGAAAGTATAATCAACTTGGGCTCACTCCCAAAACTGAAGAGCATGAATCAAGCGAGGAGGAGGATGACGTTGATGAGGAGGCAAAACTTTCGCAAACTGTCGCCACAGGCGAACTTAAATTTACTTACAAAGGACAAACATCGTCATTACAATCGCCTAGCGATATTGCGGCCTGGATCGAGGAGCGCAAAAAGAGATACCCAACCAAGGCAAGGATAGAGGAGCGTTTGAAGGAAGCAGAAAAGCAAAAGAAAGCCTCAAGGGAAGCTAAAGATGCCAAACGGGCAAGAGAAAATGCTCTGAGGCAGCAGAAAAGTGCGGAGCGGGAAGAAACAAGACGACTTCAAAAGGAAGCTAGAGCCAAGAAGGAGAAAGATAAATTGGAAAAGAAGGCTTTAAAGGAAGAACAACTGCCACTTGATCCTGCAGATGCTGCCGCTAAAGCAAAGTTGAAGGCAGAAAAGCTTCGACGGAAGCTCATGAAGGAAGAGAAACGTGTCGCTAGAGCTGAAGCGGATGCGGAGAAAGCGAGACTCTGGGCTGAAGCATCGAAGGCGCAGCAGATTAATGGAGTTCATGAAGGAGAGCCCAAAACCCATACCGAACCTTCTTCCGTGATGGAATTTGCGCCTATACCTGAATACCCTGATACTACAGCGCAAGAGTCCGAGCCTATCAAAACAGGAAACAACCATATCGGTGATCACATGGATATCGAGAAGTCTCAGCAAGAATCATCAACATTAACGCCTGAAAAGGAAAATGAAAATTACCCCCAGGCTACCATCACAGACCCCGCTGTAACCAATTTCACTAATATAGCCTCTGAAAATGCCGACATGACTGAGGGATCCTCAGCCACAAACACGAATACCCCTTTAGATGCGATAAGCGATAAGAGCATCCCATCTAATCCAGAAGTCATCGACAATGTGCCCTCCTTATCATCTTCCTCGGGCGATGAATACGATTCTGACGATGAAAGCTCCTCGAGCGATTCAGAATCATCTGATGAAGATAGCGACTCTTCATCCTTGGAGCCCGAGCAAGCAACTTCCCGTAGAGAGCATCCTGATCGCGTCCTTCCACTAACCCGGCAGCCAAAGAACCTCTGTCGTCAATTTGCTAAAACAGGCGATTGTCGACGAGGCAATAAGTGTAAATTCCTCCACGAAGTTTCAGATAAAGCCAAAGTTGCATCCAAACCTCCCGCTTCTATCCACGAAAAGACGGGGAGGAAAACGTTGTTCCAGACGGTCAGTTCAAGTTGTTCTTTTATATGTGCTATAAGTCACCTCTCTGTCTGATCAAATTATAACAAATTTAAAATTTTTACTAATAGAATACATAGCTTGTAAGCCGCGAAAAAGAAGAGGAAGATCGACGAGTAATGCAGGCAATATGTTTGCTCGGGCAGCGTGGTATTTTAGATGAGCCGGTGACTGAGCCCTCGCAAAAAGCTAAAGATGCGCCAACGACCGCCTAATTGAAAAATACAGGACAGCGTTTACTGGTGAGGTTAACCTAGCTGTCGCTATGGTTCGGTGCACAGCCTGATGATCCTTTGAACTGAGGCAAATTGGGGGACAAAAAGGGGAAACAGGACATCTTGCGTTTTTTCATGATGGGTATATCCAAGAAAATTCCTAATATATTCTTCCGATCCCCATTTCTCAAGCATACTTGTATTGTATCTCTAGATTCCTTTTCACTTCTCGTCCTAGAGATAGCGACGGCGTATGCAAATTATTTAATAGAGTTTAGGGGGGAAATTACCAATCATTTGAAAATGACCTGAACGGTGGTGCTGACAGTTTTCTGATGAATACAGATACTATGAAAACTCTCCATGATTCACACCTCATGACCTTAAGAATCAAGCCTACTTGAGGATAATGTAAATTGAGTTAGATTGACATCCAGGCGCCATCCAACCCCTGAACTACTTAACTGCTTGACCGTCCCACAAATTCCACAATCAACCTCAGTTTCCTCTATCTCTTCTGGGCACTGCTGGTGTGGCCTTTGCAAACCAACTATTGGTTGAATTTCAATAGTGGATTACTGTCTGTTTAGCCCATTAAGGCGACCACCAAGTTGAAATTATGATTGTTTTCCTTAACTACGCGAACCTTGGGAACTTCGTCGCATTGGTTATCACTGCGTCGATTGGCCAAATCAAGTTGTCCGCTTACCCTCGAGTGATTCAGTTTCCCAACCGCCAGTATCCCTTGCCCTAGACCTCATTCACGATTATCTCAAGAACAAGCACAACTATCTTGGAACTCGGGAGCAGCGCCTGCCGTCCTTGGTGGGCCCGCAACCATCGAATCTGGGATCGCATGATTTGTCCAGCCCTAGGGTAATTGTGGATGGCTGCCCAGTGGAAACGACAGAGGTGCAGAAAACCTTGAACTCCTTTTCCAAATCCATGTCTAGGATATTAAATACAGCCTTTATGATGCCTAAAGGCTATTTGTTACCTCAACGTAAAAATAGCTTCAAAAATGTGACCTTTGAAGGATTGAAAGAGCGACCAATTTAAGGGCTTAAGTATATAACCATCTAACTCATGCTCGAATTAATTAAACGTATTAAACCCGAAAATGAGAAAGAAACCTTTCGACCCGAAGGACATGTTGTAGTCTACAAGAATATAGGCCAACAACAAAAAATTAAGAGACGGTATGCGGGAAATAGAAACCGCTTTCGAAATGTCAACCACTATCAGCTGAAAAACATGACATCAAGTTGTAGAAATAGAACCCGAAAAGAAAAAGTAGAGAACAGCAATGATAGGAAAGAATGCCCTGAGAAAATCTGCGGGATATTAGACAAACTATTATTGATAACAATGAATGAAGAGAGCAAGAAGAGAGAAGAATTGATAATGTATTTATTGTATCGAGAGAGCTCTCCTCCCGACCTGACAGTTAATTTACGTGCATCGAATCGAGATCAAATTACCGTCTTCAGTTTAAAAGTCTTTAGCTACCTATCAATCCAAAGACTAATTAAATAAACAGTTAGGAGCCAAGCTTCAACATGTTATTATTAACTGGTACCGTAGGAAATAAAGAGTATAGAGTAGGAAGCAAAGATGTGGAATTAGCAAACGACATATTATCCAACCTAACCTCCATCTCCTATAGTTAACTAGTTAGTTACGGCTTTTGTCGTCAATCTCTTTTAGACGACTCGTTGCCTGAATTTTATGAATTCCAGCTCGTCATTTGCTGCGTTCAACGGCTCTGTCATCCCTGCACGAACACTGGCAAAAATCTGTTAGAATTTCCTCAACACTCACCGAAGGTTGCTATTTATTTAGCTCATTATATTGTTGCCAAATAAGCCTTGCTAAAGCTTTTGTAATGATTTTGGAAAACAGCATCGATACCCATCTTCAATGAGCGAATAAAACGCTGAGAATCCCAGCTGGAGGATGTATGGGGAAAGGTAGGGACATTGTCTAAAAAGGTATGAAGGCGGGCGATCTAAAATGTAGCTAAACCAGGATGGGAGGAGGCTTGATCTGAATTTAATCTTTTGAATTTGGCTCAGACAAATATCTCGTGTTTCAAGTTGCTTCTGGACGCTGCTTCTCACGAGAATTTTTTGATGAAAAGCAGAGGGTTGGAAGGCTGTATTTATATATTTCTGGGAATTCACAGTTATCGAATGTAATATCCGTATATATTCATATCTCCTACTATACTAAGAGAATACGTAGCAATTTGATCTAATTTATACTACGGTGTGGGTGACGCTAGTATAAGGAGATTAAGAGGAACGATCTACGGAAAAGAAAAAGGAAAGATCAACAACACACCCCACCCAGCTGAACAACGTGAAGCTGGACCAATTACCTAATTGGGCAATAAATGAATGTAGGCGGTTCTAATTGACCTCCCAGCAGTGAAAAAACAGTAAAAATGAATTTTTTTTTATCCAATTTGATCAGGCTACTAAGCTAGCCGGTCTATATTTCGACCAGACCCTTTTTCAACCACCCTATCCAAAGCAACCACTCTTCCTATTTGGGTAAATATTTAACTACAAATTCAATCTAATTGTCATTCAAACATGCAGACTTTCAGACCTGCTGCCAAAGCTGCTGCTGCTGCTGCATTTTTAGTCTCATTTTCCAGCTTCTGTAGTTGTTTTTTAGTGTTTAAAGCAGCAGCTTTTTCTTGAGCCTTCTTAATTCTTTTTATATTAATAAATCAGGTATTTGAATCAACTTTCATCTTCTTTTTGATTTTTGACTATTGTCATGACTCAACTAGAGTCAGGATGATAACAAGACAACAGCTTCAATTCATCTATTTAACTAGGCAGCTACGATGAGAATATTAAACTAAGAATTAAAATGAAAAATGAATGAGCAGTCAAATATATAGAAGTGGTTGAAGATTGAATCAGATTAACCTTTACAGCAGATATAATTGAGGATCAGATCAGCTCAATATGAGCAACTGAATATGATTCAGATCAGAACAGATCAATTTTTAAAGAGTAATGAGATGGATCAATCTTAATTCATATATAAGCAGCTACACTATAATATTACTCTATGATTTAAAAGAGTGTTTGCTCTCAAACAGCTATGTTAGAAGAAAGAAAAAAGTAAAATAAAAATTTATCAAGCTTATCAGTAGACTAACTGCCTTGATCATTATTCATCAAATTCCTATAGATTTTCTTTTATATTTGACTAATATCAGAGTCATTATTGAATTCTTGCCTAAAGATTGAGATTTTTTTAACAATTTAACAATGATAAAACTTAGAAAAATGTGAATAGAAATGATAGTCTTTAACTCAATGATTATGAGATTCACAGTATACACAATAGCCTTTTTGACAGAATTTTTCCTGTTGAGAAAGTGAAATTGACAGGGTATATGATGAAGAATCATCTAAAAGATCAAAAGTATTAACTTGAATCTGATTAAAATTTATAGAATCATAATATTCATGATGATCAGAGTGATCAGAGTGATCAAAGTAAGCTTGTGATGTAAATGAATATGAAGAATTGAAAGCTAATTGCTAAATAATATATAAAAATTTCTTGTAAATCTGAGAGAGATTTAGCTACTTAACTAAATAATTTCAAATTAATATACTGAGGCCTTGATGAAATTGAGATATTTTTAAAGAATTTAATCAATTCTGAGCTCTGATCTCATAAAGAATATATTCAAACTTAGTAATATAGACTGTCAAAGATTTATTTGATCTCTACTTTAGACTATGTCATTTGTTTTTCACTTCAATTATTTTATTTGAATTGTTATATACATGAGAAAATTAATTAAGAATAGAGTTGTAGTCTTAATTTTCTGTTTCTTTAGCTTGAGCTAGCTAGGAAAGAATTATTATTTATATACTTGAATTTAGATTCAAGTAGACATAGTAAAATTGAGTAATTTGATCTTTAATAGCAGTTTGATTAACATATAGTTTGACTTTGATTAAGAGGAGCCAGGTATCAAATTTTAGAATTTGATTAGTAAACTTTTACTTTTTAGAGTCTGACAATAAAAGCTTTAAATAAAATTGAGATTGAGATTGAGAGCTGTTTAGAGCAGTCTGTAAAGATTGATATTCAATCTGCAACTGTTGATTTTGACTGTGAAGCTTTTGAATATCACTTTTAAATTTCTGATGAAGAATAGCAAAAGAAGTTTTTATAATAAAGATAAAAAAGACAAAAATTAATAAAGATTTTAAGTACTCAGCATAGTTTCAATCACTAAAGAACTCACACAGATATAGATATCAATATTGATATAGATCTAGATTCAAACATAGATATAGATGTGAGTATTCAGCATAATTACAATCATTAAAAAGCTCATATAGATATAAACATATAAATATAGACTTGTCTACTAAATCTTCAGAACTTTTGAAAAAGAGAAGTTTAGTATTATATTATAACTTAACTAAAGTCAAGATGATAACAAGACAATAGCTTCAATTTATATATTTAATTAGATAGCTGCAATGAGAATACTAAACTAAAAATTAAAATAAAAAATGAACAAGTAACTGAATATATAGAAGTGATTAAGAATTGAATTGAATCAATATTTGTAGCAGATATGATTGAAAATCAGATCTGATCAACATGAGCAATCAAATATAATTAAGGTCAGAATAGATCAATTTTTAAAAAATAGTGAAACAAATCAATCTTAATTCATATACAAGCAGCTGTACTGTAACAACTGTTAGGGAGTAAATGTGAGCTGCATAAAAAGAAAACTCTCTGTGTTGCTAACTGCTATGTAACAAAATTTTAAAATTGATGAGAAAAAAAAAATGTTAAGGTCTGCTCAGATTATAAACAGCTCATGTGATCATGTGACCAGATCATGACCAATTCACTAGGTTATATGTGGGGTGTGGTCATGTGATGGAGATAAACCTAGCCCTGGTGCTGAGTCTAACATCACCCCATGATCTAGAAACAGACATGCTCTCATGCTGGAAGATTGTCATCATCTTCATCTTTCAGATAGCTGCCTGTCTCTCATGTTCTTATCCATTCATCTAGGTATTTTAGTGGTCTGACTTTAGTAGGATTGGCATTATGGAAATCTCATATTGTATATGATAATTCTTTAAAGTTATAAGTGAGATATTATAAAGAATTCTCATCAAATTTCATTCAATACATCTGATATTGCAGCTTGCCTCAGCTTATTCAACTGATCAGTATATGATCTATTTTTCATTCATTCTCACTGTTTATTTCAATTGAGTCTGGTGATCTGATAGTCTGATCAAATATAAAGTCTATGAAGTTTTTGCATAGTTTATCTGATAAGAAGATTGAATGAATCTTCATTGTTGCAGAGAGATTCAGTTTGTAAACATTGCTCATCTTTTTCAGAATTTTAAAAAGACTGACATTCTGCTCTGTCAGTTTACAATTTGATCAATTCATATTATATAATTTCAATATTAGATAAATAAAATCTTCTACTATAAAATCAGACTTTTGATAATGCTTGTCAGTCTGTCTCTTCATCTGTTTCTATGCTATTCTTATGTCTTTAATTGTCTGATTTCAGATCTTTCTTATTCAGTAAATGAAGTTTCTTGCTGCTTCTCAATTTCTTTTCTCATTTATGTTTAATTTCTTTATTAGTGATTGTCAGTCAAATGATATTCAGAGTTCATATTCATTTGCTGTGAGAAAAAGAAAGATCTCTGTGAAAGCATTTGAAATAGCTGTGAAGATGTGATCTATAATGAGCAATCAATTATCTCAGTCATTTTGATAATAACTGATGTAGAAATGAAGATGAATGATAATGTATTGATTCATTACTTTTATCTGTCCATCAATTTATATGTGATATGCTGTTAAAAGTTTTAGTTTTATGCTTAGAATCTGTGTAAACTCATCTCAAAAGCTTGATATGAACTGAGAGTCTCAGTTAAAGATAATTGAGTTAGACACCTCATTGTATGAATAGTAGAATTAAATGAATAGTCAGATCAGCTCCTGGGCTGTAACTTCTTAGATGATAGAAATAAAGACTGTTCTCTTGCTTAGCTGATATACTATAATCAAAATGATATTATAATCTGTTTTACTTTTCAGCACATCTATAATGTTTATTACAATATGCTATCATGTTTATTCTGATATTGATAATGACTTTAATAAATCAGAAATTTTATTTTTTAGAATTTTACTAATCTGACATATATGATAGTTTCAAGTATAGTGTAAAATGTCTATCTGCCAGGTGATTCATCAATAGCATAATTGCATTAGAGTCATAGTCTTTCATTTTTCAGAATGTGCTATTGAAGCTTGATTATAAATTTTCTGCAGTAGCTCAGCTATCAGAGTTTTTTTTTCTAAACAAATATCACTAGTCTTTCATTATACTGTAGTACATTATTGTAAAGGGTTAAGCTCTAAGAACTAGAGGCTAGTCCTCCTATATAACAAGGATGAATTGCTTGAGAAAGGGAAGAAAAGATTGAGATGAGAACTGACCAGTAATCAATTCTGAAGTTAAATTGATAGAGAATATCTATTCAACATAGCTATCTTTCATTTAGTCTGCATGTAGTCATGAAGTATTCTAGATTCTTATGATCTGTGAGGATATTGAATTCCTTTATACTTTGTAGCTCAGTATCCTATTCCTTTAAACACTCAATTATCACTAATAACTTCTTATCATGAATCTCATAGTTGCATTCTGCAGGTGAATGCTTATGAGAGAAGAAGGCACATGAGTGTAGAATGCTCTGCTCATCATATTGTAGCAGCACTTCTTCTGAGACATAACCTGAAAAGTCTGTTTTCAATATAGTCTCACAGTCAGGGTCAAATTAAAGCAGGATTGGAGTGAAGATAAACATTGATTTTAAACACTTAAAAGCTTCCTCAGCCTTGCTCATCCATAAAAAAGAAACATTCTTGCATGTAAGAATTGTCAGTGAGATTGTGATCTTTGAAAAATCCCTGATAAATCATCTATAGAAATTGATAAAGTCTAAAAATTCTCATACATCTTTAAGAGTAGTAGGTGTTATTCATTTCAAAACAGCTTTAACCTTCTCTGAATTCATTTGTATACCCTTGCTCACTTCAATGATGAATTCAAGATATTTTGTGCTGTTTATCTCAAACTCACTTTTTCTGATATCTGCCTGCAGGCCCACTTTCTGTAGACACATAAGCATCTTTTATACATGCTCACAATGCTCCTGTAAGCTTCTTGAGGAAAATATCAAGATGTTATCTAAATAGACTGAGCAGAAGTCATCCAGATATCCATGTAATGCCCAGTTGATATATTTTTGAAATATGCTTGGAGCATTGACCAAACTAAAGAGTGTAACCAGTCACTCAAATAGCTCATATCTGGTTCTAAAGACTATCATCTACTCATCATCTTCTGTGATTTGAATCTTGTGAAAAGCTGCAATAATGTTCAGCTTAGTGAATCATTTAGCCTGTTCAATTCACTGTAGAGTCTCACTGATTAATGATAGAGAATATCAATCCTTTCAGATAATTTTATTAAGAGCTTGATAGTCCACACAGAATCTTAGCTCACTCTCAGACTTCTTTGCAAATAGTACAGAGGCAGCTGCAGAGGAGTTGCTCACTCTAATAAAATTCTTATCTAAATAATCTGTAAGAGTCTTTCACAAAGCCAGTAGTTTCTCTTGAGACATATTATATAATCAGCCTCAAGGGGGTTGTTCCACACTACCATCAGTCTTTTTAATCAGTTCAATTCCATGATCTCTACCTGAGTCACAAAGTGGGGGTAGAGTATCAGTGGCTTCTTTATCAAATACATTCAAAAACTCATGATAATATTCAATCAGCTTTTCTCTAGGATCAATCTTTGATTTTACTTCTAGAGCCTTTTGAATGTCAGTCAAACTGACAGCAAAGATCTCAATGTTTCACTTCTCTCAAGTGCTTGCAAGTATAGAGAAGCTTACAGCAGAGATGAGAATCACATCAGCTTTTGTGTTTGAACTAGACTCTACTTCTATACCACTCTCTTCAAATCTCATAATTCTTTGATGAGGAATCATGGTTGCCTTTTGCTAGGCCAGCCAAAGGTCACCTAAATACATATCATAACTATGTAATTCATTCACCACATAGAGAAAGGCCTGTTCAGTTACATGACCATCTATATCAATTTGAATGCCAGTCACTATGCTTGTGGAGAGTCTCATGGAGTCTTCAAAGCCAGTCATTTTAACAGGGAGAATTTCAATGCACAGGAGCTTATGTTTATTAACATAGAATTGAAAAATAAGATCATAAACATTACATCCACTGTCTATCATTGCTCTAGTTGAAAAGACATTATCTACTAGAGCATTGACAGTGAAGGGTTTGAATATCATCTTAGATTTAAATCTTCTCTATTGCTTTTTCATAAGCTTCTTATTTTGCTTCTTTCAGTGTCTTTTGATTGGAGTCACTCTTTTCCCAAATTCTCACTCATATTCATATCATCATCATCCAGTACTGGCTCAGGAATCATCTTAGCTATCATGAGAGTAGCAGAGTGTCTGAGAAGTTTGAACAGGTAGCTCTTAATCATATGACCTCCAGCTCTGCATTTCAGGTACAGGTCTTGCTCTCTTCATTGATTAACTTCTGTCTGATTTATCAATTTGATGTGGTGGGTACTTGAGGTCACAGCACCAGGAGAGAGATCCATCAGATCATCAGTGAAAGCTTGAGATCAGTTTCATTGATTAAGAACAGTATGACAAAGTAGAGAGTGTGGATTAGATGTTGTATGATCTGAAGAAGATCTGCTCTCATGATGTTTAGATTACTGTTTTAAAGTCTTAAGCTCAGAGAGTTGATGATCAACTAATCTAAGCTCCTTGCAGTAATTCTTATAGAGAGATGGTTCTCTTACACTCACCATGCCTTCCCTCAGCTCCATGCTTAGAGTGGATTTTAAATACTTCTTTTTAATGTGATCATCTCATCTGTGACTGCCAGCTTTCAGCAGTAGCTGATTAAATTCAGGTAGAAAGTCAAAGAGAGCTCTTCTACTCTGTTTTAGATTGTTGAGCTTTTGCATAGTCTTTTTCTGTTATGCAGAATCACTAAAGAGTATGTGTGTCTGCTTCAGTAAGCTCTCTATCATGAAGTTGATCTTGTTCTTATTATTCTCAACTCAGGGGTAAACTTGAGCTGCTGCCATTCCTTTCAATCTTGAGTACATATATCAAGCACATTTCTCATTATTATCTAAAGCTTTTCCATCAATTTTAAGTTTTGATTGAAGTTTTAGCTCTTACTGAGGGTAGTGCTTCAGATTAGAATCATCATACTTCTTGCAGTTCAGTAGCTTAGTCTTTGATCTTCTGATTGCAATGAGTGATTGTGAGTTTGATTGAGAGAGAATTGATGTTGAGATGTTCAAAGCTTGTCATAGATTAGCTATTTCAGCTTGCTGAGCTGCTATTAAATCTCTGTTCTCACACTGGACCTGTTTCTGCTGTTGAAGAAAGGTTATTCATTGTTGTTCAAAGCTGCTGAGAGCATCCCTGCTCATTGCTTCATGTTGATTCATTTGTGTATTTGTTGTACAAGTCTGTCACTTTATCTCATTCAGCTAGATGTTTTCAATGTTGCTCATTTGTTTGTTAGCATGATTGCTAATCCAGTCTATTCATATACCAGTGCTATCACTGAACTTCATGATGTAGAATTTAAGACTCTCAATAGTCTATCATATGTCAACACATTTGCTGAGCTTTGTGATACAGAATTAAGACTCTCAGTGGCCTATCAATGAAAGGAGTGAAGCAATTTGTAATGTAAAGAGTTAAGCTCTAAGAACTAGAGGCTAGTCCTCCTATATAACAAGGACAAATTGCTTGAGAAAGGGAAGAAAAGATTGAGATGAGAACTTGAGCTTAAGCAAGCTTGTGTAGCGTGATCACGTGCACACATGCAAACAATGGCTAGGCTGAGTCAGCCAGCCAGAGCAAATCTAGGGGTTTAACTCCTTATAATTATCTTTCATTGTATAGAGACTATTCTCATCATCTGTCTGCTGTCACAGGAGTTAAATTGAGATGACTATTTTATTTAAAATCACTATATATTCAATAATGTTCTCTTTCTCTGAGAAGTTGATACTAGCAATATTCATAGAAGAAGTGATATAAAAGTTAAAAATCTCTGATTCTAGAAGAATCTGCATATGATTATTCTGTTGTCTTCTAATCTGCTCAAGTTTGCTTAGTGCATCTGCTAATAAATTGACCTTGTCTGATCAATACTTGATCTCAAAGTAGAAACGGAAAAGAAACTCTGCTCAATGAGCTTGACATGCATTTAGCTTTTTAATAGTCATGAAGTATTTCAGTACATGATGATTAATGAGAATCTTAAATTGTTTCTTTCATTGTAGTCTTTCAAGCTCTACTTATCATTCTTGTAAAACTCAGATCACTGTCAGCATTTTTTTATCATGAACTTCATAATTAAGCTCTATATTATTCATTGACTTTGATTAAAAGACTACTAAATATGAAAGATCATTTTTAAATCTTTGACTTAATATTTCAGTCACTACTCTATCAGAGATATCAGTTTTAATATGAGTCTCTTACTCATAGTTATAGTAATGCAGAGTTAAAGTTTTCATCAGCTGTTTCTTCAGTTTTTTAAAGACTGATTTGCATTCTGATGTTCATACAAATGAAATAATCTTCTTCATCAACTAGTACAGTGATTTTGCAATTCAGCTGTAGTTTCTTATAAATTATTAATAGAAATTATCAAATTCTAGAAATAACTAAACTTCTTTAACTATGATAAAAATCTGTTATCTTACAATAACAGCTATTTTCTCTGAGTTTGTCTCAATTTCTTCTGTGCTGATGATAAATTCTAAATATTTTATTCTCTGAACTGCAAACTCATATTTCTGAATACTGACTTATAAATCAGCTGTTTTTAGTCAGTCTAGTATTGAATTTATCTGCTGCTTATACTTCTTCAGATTCTTGCTATAGATTAGAAGATTATTTATAAATGCTGTTATAAACTTATTCAGATAGTCAAAGAAGATACTGTTAACAAATTATTAAAAGCAGACAGGGATATTCATAAGATCAAAGAGAATCATCTAATATTTATAGGTTTTGTAACAAGTTTTAAAGATGATCAGATCTTCAGACTCAGAGTTTATTCAGATGTGATGAAATCTCTATTGAATTTTTAGCTTTATAAAGTATTTTACTTTGTTGAGTCAGTTCATCAACTTATATATTAGAAGCAAAAGATACTGATCTTGTTTGATTATAGCATTCAGCTTATGTGTGAGGACATAAAGATAGATAAACTAAGTGTCAAAAGAATATATGAGAAGCTCTATAACTAAGGTTATAAGAGAAGAGGTGTACAAGCGCTGCGAGCGCTATAGAGGGAAAAAGATAGCAATGAATGAAATATATATGTAGGATTGAATAATAGCTAACCACTGAATCTTTCAAAAGAACTTTAGGGATTCAGGATGTTTATATACATAAATAAGTAGCAATATATTTTATCTCTAATCTTTCATAAAATAGAGAATTAGTAATGCAGTGATCTGCATTTTCATAAAGTACTGATCCTATTCTTCAGGAAGTGCTAGTGCTAAAGGACTGATTTTTAAGAAGTGCTGATCTGTACTGATTCTGAATACTGAATTTTGAAATGATACTGATCCTCTAAGAGGTGCTGATCCTAAAGTGCTTTGATAAATAGTATAATAAGTAATGTGAGGACAAGGAGCTAGTATAGAGAGTCTTATCATCACATTGTGAAAATTAACACAGAATTATAACTTCTTCTCACTATAAGTAATCAGAATTGAGGAGGTATAAAGAGCTGAACTTGAAGTGATGAAGTTCTTTGTTAGATTGACTTCAAGATAGATCTTCACTACCTTTAATTCCTTTAAATTCATCTTATATAGAGGTGCATATTTAATGCCTCAGATAAGGTCAACATTAGACTGAAGCTCTATTTTAAAATCAATATTCTTCTATAGAGGAGGTAATTCATTCAATATTTTCTTTGAGAAATAGTTTTTCTAACCTTTTAATTATTTTGATAAATTACAGATCAACTTTTTATCAAACTTATCCTCAGCTCTTATTAAACTTTACTTCTTCTCAAGCTGTTTATCAATTTCATACAGACTGATTATGAAAACTGTTGAGTTCTTGTTCTTCATATAATCATAAAAGAAAGTAGTCTCAATGAAGTTCATATTCATTATCTATAATACTGTCTTCTCCCAGGTCAGTTTCTATCTTGTTTTAGATGTCATGACTCAACTGATTCCTTTTAATCTATAGAGTCAAGTCTGATGCTTCTGTCTAATCTTCTTATTTAGTTTGATCTCTATAATGGGTTGAACCCCAAGATTTGCTCTGGCTGGCTGACTCAGCCTAGCCATTGTTTGCACATGCGCACATCATCACGCTACGTGAGCTTGCTTAAGCTCAAGTTCTCATCTCAATCTTTTCTTTCCTTTCTCAAGCAATTCATTCTTGTTATATAGGAGGAATAGCCTCTAGTTCTTATAGCTTAACCCTTTATATTACAAATTGCTTCACTCCTTTTATTGATAGGTCACTGAGAGTCTTAATTCTGTATTATGAAGCTCAGCAAATGTGCTGACATATGATAGACTATTGAGAGCCTTAAATTCTACATCATGAAGTTCAGTGATAGCACTGGTATATGAATAGACTGAGTTAGCAATCATGCTAACAAATGAATGAGCAATATTGAAAACATCTAGTCAAATGAGATAAAGTGGCAGACTTGTACAACAAATATACAAATAGATCAATATGAAGCAATGAGCAGGGACATCTTCAGCAGCTTTGAACAACAATGAATAGTCTTTCTCCAACAGCAGGAACAGATTCAGTGTGAGAACAGGGATTTAATAGCAGCTCAGCAAGCTGAAATAGCTAATCTATAACAAGCTTTGAACATCTCAACATCAATTCTCTCTCAATCAAATCTGCAATCACTCATTGCAGTTAGAAGACTAAAGATCAAGCTACTGGACTGCAAGAAGTATGATGATTCTAATCTGAAGCACTACCCTCAATGAGAGCTAAAGCTTCAATCAAAACTTAAGGTTGATGGAAAAGCTTTAGGTAATAATGAGGAATGTGCTTGGTATGTATACTTAAGACTAAAAGGAATAGCAGCAACTTGAGTTTACCCCTGAGTTGAGAATAATAAGAACAAGATCAACTTCATGATAGAGAGCTTACTGAAGCAGACACACATGCTCTTTAGTGATTCTGCATGATAGAAAAAGACTATGCTAAAGCTTAACAATCTACAACAGAGTAGAAGAGCTCTCTTTGACTTTCTGTTTAAATTTAATCAGCTACTGCTGGAAGCTGGCAGTCACAGATGAAATGATCACATTAAAAAAAAGTATTTGAAATCCACTCTAAGCATGAAGCTGAGGAAAGGCATGATGAGCATAAGAGAATCATCTCTCTATGAGAATTACTGCAAGGAGCTTAGATTAATTGATCATCAACTCTCTGAGCTTAAGACTTTAAGACAGTGATCTAAACATTGTGAGAGCAGATCTTCTTCAGATCATATGATATTTAATTCACACTCTCTACTTCATCATACTATTCTTGACTGATAAAATCAGTCTCAAGCTTCCACTAATAATTTGATGGATCTCTCTTCTGATGCTGTGACCTCAAGCACTCATCACATCAAATTGATAAATTAGATAGAGGTTAATCAATGAAGAGAGTAAAGCCTGTGCCTGAGATGTGAAGCTGAAGGTCATATGATTAAGAGCTGCTCATTCAAACCTCTCAGATGCTCTGCCACCCCCATGATAGCTAAGATGATCTCTGAGCCAGTACTGGACAATGATGATGTGAATATGAGTGAGGATTTGGGAAAAGAGTAGCTCTAATCAAAAGACACTGAAAGGAGCAAAATAAGAAGCTTATGAAAAAGCAATGAAGAAGATTTAAATCTAAGATGATATTCAAACCCTTCACTGTCAATGCTCTAGTAGATAATGCCTTTTCAACTAGAGCAATGATAGACAGTTAATGTAATGTCTATGATCTTATTTCTCAATTCTATGTTAACAAGCATAAGCTCCTGTGCATTGAAATTCTCCCTGTTAAAATGACAGGCTTTGAAGACTTCATGAGACTCTCCATGAGCATAGTGACTGGCATTTGAATTGATATAGATGATCATATAACTAAACAGGCCTTTCTCTATGTGGTGAATGAGTTACATGATTATGATATATATCTAGGTGACCCCTGGCTGGCCCAGCAAAAGATGACTGTGATCCCTCATCAAAAAATTGTGAGATTTAAAGAGAGTGGCATAGAAGTAGAGTCTAGTTCAAACACAAAAGCTGATGTGATTCTCATCTCTACTGTAAGCTTCTCTAGGCTTGTGAGCACTCAAGAGAAGTGAAACATTGAGATCTTTGCCATCAGTTTGACTGACATTCAAAAGACTCTAGAAGTGAAACCAAAGATTGACTCTAGAGAAAAGCTGCCTGAACATTATCATGAGTTTTTGAATGTATTTGATAAAGAAGTCACTGACACTCTACTCCCACTTTGTGACTCAGATAGAGATCATGGGATTGAACTGATTAAAAAGGCTAATAGTAGTGCAGAACAACCCTATTGAGGCTCATTATATAATATGTCTCAAGAGAAACTACTGACTTTGTGAAAGACTCTTACAGATTATCTAGATAAGAGTTTTATTAGAGTGAGCAACTCCTCTGCAGCTGCCTCTGTACTATTTGTAAAGAAGTCTGAGAGTGAGCTAAGATTCTGTGTGAACTATCAAGCTCTTAACAAAATCACCTGAAAGGATTGATATTCTCTATCATTAATCAGTGAGACTCTACAGTGAATTGGACAGGCTAAATGATTCACTAAGCTGGACATTATTGCAGCTTTTCACAAGATTCAAATCACAGAAGGTGATGAGTGGATGACAGTCTTTAGAATCAAATATGAGCTATTTGAGTGGCTGGTTACACTCTTTGATTTGATCAATGCTCTAAGCACATTTCAAAAATATATCAACTGGGCATTACATGGATATCTGAATGACTTCTGCTTGATTTATTTAAATGACATCTTGATATTTTTCTCAAGAAGCTTATGGGAGCATTGTGAGCATATACAAAAGGTGCTTATGTGTCTACAGAAAGTGGGCCTGCAGGCAGACATTAGAAAGAGTAAGTTTGTGATGAACAGCACAAAATATCTTGAATTTATCATTGAAGCAGGCAAGGGTATATGAATGAATTCAGAGAAGATTAAAGCTGTTTTGAAATGAGTGACACCTACTACTCTTAAAGATGTATGAGGATTTTTAGACTTTGTCAATTTCTATAGATGATTTATCAGAGATTTCTCAAAGATCATGACCTCACTGACAATTCTTACATGTAAGAATATTTCTTTTTTGTAGATGAGCAAGGCTGAGGAAGCTTTTAAGTGTCTAAAATCAATGTTTATCTTTACTCCAATCCTGCTTTAATTTGACCCTGACTGTGAGACTATATTGAAAACAGACTTTTCAGGTTATGTCTCAGAAGGAGTGCTGCTACAATATAATAAGCAGAGCATTCTACACTCATGTGCCTTCTTCTCTCACAAGCATTCACCTGTGGAATGCAACTATGAGATTCATGATAAGGAGTTATTAGCAATAATTGAGTATTTAATGAAATGAGATGCTGAGCTACAAAGTGTAAAGAAATTCAAGATTTTCACAGATCATAAGAATCTAGAATACTTCATGACTACACACAGACTAAATGAAAAACAGCTATGTTGAATGGATATTCTCTATTAATTCAACTTCAGAATTGATTACCAGTCAGAGAAGTTGAATGCTGGACAGATGCTCTATCACAAAGAGAGCAGAACATGCTACAGAGCACTGATGATGAGAGAATCAAGCAGAGACAAGCTCAACTACTTAAGTTTAACATTTTGACATCTGGAATGAAATCAATAGTGGCTGCTGCCAGTGTGAAACCTGAGATATCTCTTCAAGCTTAGTAGAATGAGGCTCACAAAAATGACAAGATTCTGCAGTGTCTGAAGCAAACTCTTCATGAGAGAAGATTCAGATTTTCTTCTGAACTCAGCATTAAGGTCTTTGTCTCTGAGTACTCTTTAAATGAGAATAAGGAGCTTCTTTTTTAAAATCATAAGTGAATGCTAGACTTTGAACCTCTTTGAACCAGGTTAGTGCATGAGGCTCATGACTCACCTCTTACTGACCATCCTGGGTGAGAGCAAATGGCAGAAGTTCTAAGACATGAGTTCTACTGGTCAGACTATATCATTGATATGAGAAGAATGATCAAGAACTGTCATATTTGCAGATCAAACACTGCATAGAGAGATTGACATCAGGAACTACTTAAGCCTCTTCTCATTTCTGAACACATGTGGCAGGAGCTTTCTATGGACTTTATTGTGAACTTATCAAACTCTAAAGAATACACAAACATCATGATTATAACAGACAGACTGATCAAGAGAGTTATATTAAAATCAGTTAAGAAAACTGATGTAGAGACAGTGACTAGAGTGTTTCTTCACAACATCATTCCTTAATATGGCATCTCTAAGGCAGTAGTATCAGATTGAGGGTCAGCTTTCACAAGCATGTTTTTGAACTCAGATGTGTGAGAAATTAGGCATTAAGAGATGACTCTTCATAGTCTATCACTCAGAGACTGACAGAACTACAGAGTGAATGAATCAGACTCTGAAAATCTATCTACACAAGTACATTAACTTTCAACAGAATGACTGGTGTAAATGACTCCCTCTAGCAGAGCTGGCTATCAATAATAGAGATGCTGTCTCAATAGGCATAAGCTCATTCTTTTTAATACATCTTTTCCATATCTCCTTTATTGATATAGCTGATGCACTTCTCATTGAAACATCATGTAATCTCATTGAGTTTGCAGATGATTATATGAGAAAGACCTGTGAAGTATTGAAGTAGGCTCAAGTAAAAATGATGAATGCTCAGCAATCTCAAGAGAAATACATGAATAGATGAAGAGACCCAGCTTTAAGCTTTTAACCTAGAGATAAGATCTGGTTGAGTTTAGAGAACATGAGAACTAATCACCTGTGCAAGAAGCTAGATGCAAAATACAATCAATATACTGTGCTAGAAAAGATAGAATTTCATGCTTACTGACTGAATATCTCATCTGACATTCACAATGTCTTTAATGTAAAGCTTCTACATGCTGTGGCAATGAATTCCCTGCTTAGTCAGAGGCAAACTGACTGGCAGTCACTCACTATTGAGATCTCAGAAGGATCTGAGTTTGAGATTGAGGAAATTCAGAGCAAATGAACCTATCAGAGGAAAAAGTAATACCTTATTAAATGGGTGAGTTGAGCTGAGCCTATGTGGAATAATGTGAGTCTCCTACAAGAAGCAAAGGCCTTGAATGCTTGGGAGGCCTCTCAGCAGGCAAAATTAGATGTAAAAAGAGCTTTAAATAGTTGTAAAGGCCTGCAACAAAGAGGAAGAAGAAGGATATTATAAGAGGTTGAACCCTTAGATTTGCTCTGGCTGGCTGACTCAGCCTAGCCATCATTTGCATATGCGCATGTGATCATGCTATGTGAGCTTGCTTAAGCTCAAGTTCTCATCTCAATCTTTTCTTCCCTTTCTCAAGCAATTCGTCTTTGTTATATAGGAGGACTAGCCTTTAGTTCTTAGAGCTTAACCCTTTACAATCTTTTTTCATTTTATATTCATCTGATACTCAGACTTAGAGTTCAAAAACTTTAGTATTTATCAGAGTACTATCTTCAACATCAGCTCTGTCATCTATTCAGGAATAGATTGTTCACTCAGTTAAATCAAATATTAATTTTTAACATCAAGTCATATATTATGTACTGCTAATCACTTTCATCTTAGAATTATAAGGTGCTGATCTAGATTCATTATTAGGTGAAGAATATTCTAAAATCTCCAGTCATTTACCCAGAGGTTTAGAGTCAATATGCAGTCTATCACCTCATCAGGAGCATTATTATATCTCTTCATATGGCATTTAAATAGAAGTTCTTGAAACTTTCTATTGAAGAATTTCACTAATTCTATGATATATCAGATATTAATAAAATTCACATCATTCACTTCAGTATTAGTAAGAAAATTTATAGAAATAGCAATTTTATTATAGATTAACTTGATTGATATATTAAAGCTTTTTCTCTTAATCAAGTCCTTTATATCAAACTTCTTATAGACTATTGAACTATTTAAAATAAAGTCTTCTATCAGACTCACTCTTTTCTCAAATTCACTGAAAACTCAGAAATATCATTTTCTGTGAGCTTAATGATCATCTATTAAAACTTCTATTTTATGAGATAATATTTTGCAATATGATCTTTCTTCTTGCAGTAGTACTATTGAATGTTTGAATGAATGCTCACAGTTTTCTTCATGATAAAGGATTTTGTAGTAATGATGTCAGAAAAAATTTGAATATTGAAGACTTGTAAGATATTTTACTTGAGAATATTAGATTTATTTTTCTACAAGCTTTTTGACTTCTGAATGATATTGATTATCTGAATAATATGAGCTGTCTAAGCACAAATCTTCTGAAACTCAGTGTATGTATTGATAATCATATTGACTACTGCTATCATTCTCTAAAGATCAAAAAATAACTTGTCATTGAAATCTATCTTGTAGTTCTTATTGATGATCTTGATCTCATCTGCTAGATGTAAGAATTTTGTGACAAATTCATGATAATTATTCCCATTACACATAATCAGCTTATGATACTCACTTTTAATATTTTGCAGCTTGTTAATATTCTTATATATTGACTTAAAATGTTCAAATATCTTCTCCACAATCTGATATCACTCTGAATGATTCTCTTTTATATGAAATGTAATATAATGTACTGTGTTCTCATCTGTCTAATTTTTAATACATACAATCTTTATATATTCTGTAGAGTAGTAATTAGTATTCTCTTAGAGCTTATTTCTCATGCAGAAAAATCAGTACTCAAACTTTGACTTCTTATCATCAATGAGATGTTTTAAATTATCAATCTTGACAGATCTTCTCATATTTTCTGAAAGAATGATGTTTTGACTTGTTACTTAATTACTGACTATCATTTAAATCAATATATAACTAAATTTATCACATTTTATAATAAGCTCATTAATTTAATTTTATTTGATAGTTGTCTGAGCTACAGCATTATTTCATTTCATCTGCAGATGTGTAACTGTGTCTCTCAGTGTGTTCTTATCATCAAAAATACTGTTAAAGATTGCTACTAACTCATTGTAGACATAATTTTTATCTGAGTAAATTATTTTTCTGAATTTCTCAACTGAGATATATGATTGATCAGTCTGTCTTGTTAGAATGTATCATCAGTTCATTGACCTCTTTCAAGAAGTTGAAAGCCTGTGATGATAATCTGATGTCAGATTAAGCTATTATTTTTGACAGTTGATCTAATATATTGTCAAACTCTCAACTAGCAGATTTTAATTTAACTGAAACACTTGAGTTTTTCACTGAAACCTGAGTGAAAAGATAGGAGGAAATCTTAGGATTATGTTAGAAAGTGAATGCAAACTGCATAAAAAGAAAGCTCTCTGCATTGCTAACTGCTATATAATGAAATACTAAGGTTGGTGAGGAAAAAGAAGTGTCAGGGTCTGCTCAGATTATAAACAGCCCATGTGGTCATGTGACTGGATCACGGCCGATCCACTAGGTCCCATGTGGAGGGTGGTCATGTAATGGGATAAACCTAGCCCCGGCGCTGAGCCTAACAAACAGGTGTTTGATTATCAACTAGATAAGCTATCTGAGCAAATATTAAAATGATTTCTAAGAGATGGGTTCAGAGAAGACTCTGTTTATATAGTTTTTTTCCTTAGTGTCATTTTTCACATTTACATGTTATTTGTATGTGACGTAATTGTGAGGTTGACTGCTATATTATTGCCTAGACAGTTGCAATTTCTGATCATCTCAGTCTGTTTTACATCATCACATTAGCTACTGTACAGACTAGTTATTGTTCTACTCAAATCAATTATATCTAACTTTCTTATTAATTTATCTTATCTTTCACTTACTGTATTCATCAAATTCTTTTTTTATTTTACTCATAATATAACTGACTTTTCAAAAATTCTTTAATATTTGAAGAAATTATTATAAAAAATACTTGAGTTGACTAATGTTAGGCTCAGCGTCCGACCGAAGGCCGGTGCCCGGTTAGACTCGACGTCGGATTAAGCTCGGCGCCCGATTAGGCCTAACCCACATCACGTGACCATGCGACCATGCGGGTGGTTATAATCCACGCAGGTCCCCAGCCCCCCTTTTCATCCCATCAAGCTTAGTATTTTGTTATATAGCAGTTAGCAACACAGAGAGTCTTCCTTCTTATGCAGCTCACATTCACTCTCTAACACAATACTAAGCTTTCCTTCTACCTTCTCACTCAGGTTTCAGCAGAGAACTTGAGTGCCTCAGTTGAATTAGAATCTGCTAGTTCAGAGCCTGACAATGTGTCAGATCAACTGCTAAGACAACAGCACTGTTGAAGACAACAGCTCAATCCAACATCAGATGGCCACCACAGGCTCCCAACCCCCTGGAAGAGGCTGAAAGGACTGGTGATACCTCCTAACAAGATCAACTGACCAATCATGCATCTCAATTGAGGAATTCAGAGAGGCAATCCACTCAGACAGCAACTGTGTTTATAATGAGTTGGCAGCAATCTTCAATGGCATCTTTGATGATGAAAAAACATTAAGAAATACAGTCACACATCTGAGAATGAAATGGGACAATGCTACTAATCAGGCTGCTGTCAAGCAAAGTCAGATTGATGAGCTAATTGCTGAATGTGATGAACTTAGCCACACTCTGATCTGCATGACAGTCAGCAATCAAGCAGCAAGTCAAGACATCACTCCCTCTGAGACTGCCAGAAGGTCTGTCAAGATTGATGATCTGAAACATCTTACTGACAGCAAGGAGCTGAAATTTGAATACTGGCTCTTCTGAATGAAGAACAAGCTCTGAGAGAATGCTGACCACTACTCTACTGAACACATGAGGATAGTGTACATTGAAAACTGAACTGATGGGGACACAGCATGTCACATTGCACCCTGTATGAAAGAGGACCACCCTGAGCAATATCAAATCACAGAAGAGATGTTTGAGCACCTCA